CGTATCTGGGGGCTCACGTTCCCGCTCGGGCTGTAGTCCCCTCTTTGTTGTGTGCTGCAGTACATGCCGGAGGGCGGCTGGACAGATCCGTTTTATTAAGCTGATCAGAAAAAGCAGAGATGGAAGAAAAACCTGTTAGATCCCGACCGCCTTATCCCCCTTGGTTAATGCCTGCCAATTCCCGATGTGTGTCTCCTACCGCCTCGTCCAGGCTGCATTTAAACCTTTCCAGCGACAGGTCTTTCATCACTTCCCTGGGGAGGCTGTTGCATGACTGTGAGATTTAATAACAACACAAATGCCCTGGGCTCTGACATAACCCTTAACAGCCAGGGATCTCCCAGGGCTTCACAAAGGAGAGCAGCTCTGTTTTTGTCGAGGGGAGAGGGAAAAAGGGAACAGAAAAAATGAAATTATTTATCCACTGCCACCCAAAATTAACAGCAGATTTAGGAATCAAGCCCAGGTCTCCCAAGTCCCAGTCTGGTGCTGTAACTACTGTGTTTTGAGCCAGCCTGATCTGTCTAATCCCCTTGGATCACTTCAAACAAGCTAAGATAGCTTGTCGATCATATTTATGATCAATTTTCTGCTGGTTTTTTTCATGGTGTGGGTAACAGTTTTGAAAAGAAAAGCTGCTAATCCAGCCTTGAAAACTGGGCTTTGTCCACCAAAGACGTCGTGTGAGGGCTCTCACAGGGAAGACATCTGGTGCCTCAGCTGAGCTGTTGTGTGTTTAAGGCCAGGAGTAGCACATCTGCAGCATTATTAATGTAGATTACAAAATAATTGCAGGGCAATCGACCAAGCCTAGCCTGACACAGCCCCAGTGTTCATGTCCTTTTTAAATGGGAGTCCTACAAGGAGCAAATTCCCAGTTCCAAACTGAGGATCTGTCAGAACGAACCTCTTGGGCTTTGCTAAGTGGTGGATGCATCTTCATTCTTAAACAGCTTAAAACCGGGTTCCTGACCTTTTTTTGGTCAGCAAAAACCCCAGGAGGCTTCTCGTTAGGGAAGGGAATTTCTCTTCTGGTTTCCTTGAGTGGGTAATTCCTGGGAGTCTTCAACGACCCCTCTGGTCCTGGAGGGTGGTGAAGTTTTTCTTTTCCTTTTCTCCCGCCCTCAGCTATTGCAGGGTTTTGCCAGGCAGCTGCCATGTCTCCCCAAGACATGTCTGCTTTTCCCTGCCAGTTAAGTCATTTTTATCTGCCATCTGGGGGTGTTGCAGCGCTTACCTCGCTCTTAGCAAAAGCCCTGGGATGGAAAACATTAAATCTGGACAAAAGGATTATTGCAATATCAGTGTTAAGCACACTTTAGACATGTTTTTCACTCCTGTGGTGTGCCCATAACCCTCTCCATATGTCCAGCTCGGGGTTTTCAGTGGCAAGATGCCTCAGCATCCTCTGATGTGCCTCTCCAGGGATTACTTTTCCTGGCACACTCATTGCTCCACTGCAATCTTGTGGATTTCAGAGAACCAGATCCTATCCTGGGCTCTATGGCACCTTGGATCCTAAAAAGAAGGATAGAGATGAAGGCTGAAAATAGCTGAGGCAGCTCAAAAAGAATGATATTTGAAGAGATTTAACTACCAATATGATTTTGGTCGTGTTTTCTTCTTACACAATCTGCATTTGGACAGCAAACAGCGGCTTTTGCAGGGCTCGTGTGGAGGCAGGGACCATGGAAAGGGGTTGTGATGTGTTTTGGAGTGCCTGCAACTGGACCCACTCTTGCTCTTACTGCATCTGCAGGTGATGAAACAGCAAAAGCTTTTTGTGGGGTCTCTCAAAGCCCAAGAGATGGGCTCATCCCATGGAATCAGAGAATCCTTCAGGCTGGAAAAGTTCTCTAAATCATAGTGTCCAGCCATTCCCGCAACACTGCCAAGGCCATTGCTAACCATGTCCCCAAGTGCCTTAAACCCCTCCAGGGATGGAAACTCCACCACAGGAAATGCCAGTGCAGAGTCTGGTGAGTAACAGGTGATATTCCAGGAGAGGAAATCAGCCAAGGCAGCACGGAGAGGTTGTGTTAGAGGAAGGAGGAAATTACTGGCAATTACAGCTCCATTAACTGCAGCACAAGGAAAGGTTGGTTTCTAGACCAGGTTCTGGAAGAGCAATCAGATGTGCTGTTGGGAAGCAGAATAAAATTCTGGGTGGTTTAACACAGATTAACACAGATTGTGTCAGGCTGGCTCAGTGTCTTCCTTGGATATGATAAATGACTTCTGAAACAACAAGGCCTCATGATAGAGCCCCAAGGAAATGATTATTTTAGGTGGAGACAGGAAAAGGGACAGGGAAAAGAGAGCAAAATACAAGGAAGACACTTGGATTCTTCTGCAAGGAGGGATGTAAAACATCAGGCCAGAGGTTTTCAGGGGTGCTGGAGTTTTGTATGAGAATACCAAGGTCTGAGATCTCCCAGTGTGGAGCTGCCAGACCAGCTCACCTGTTTGCCACCACGGTGGCTGTGGCAACAGAGAGCCCACCAGGTGAGAACTACTTAAAGGGAATCTGCTTCTCCTGAACGTGGTTACTCCTTATGGATCCCTCTGAGAGGCAAAATATGATGGGAGAAGAACTAATGTCTAATGTACATTTGAGTAGGAGAGCAGGGTGATGTTTCCAGGTGGAGCATGGTTTATGGAAGAGATTAGGGAAGAGCTGGCAAGGGCAGGGAAGCCATGAGCTGTTTGCCTATGGTGCTTGTTTGCAACAGGTTGATATTGCACCTCATCAGTCCCTTCTGCAGAGCTCCCAAGGTTTCTCCCAGTGAAGCATTTCTGTCTAATGTCCAGCCTGAACCTCTCAACCTGCAGTTTTTGTCTGGCGCTACTGAAAGTTTGTCTCTGCTTGGAAAAGCCTCTTCTCATCCTCCTGGCAGGATTCCTGCTGCGCTTCTCTGCTCCATCTGAACTCCCAGAAAGACAGGAGATCCCAGGGAGCAGGGACTTCCTTCAGATCATGATTTTTAATGGATGCCATTAAACACAGCCACAGTCCCAGGAAGTGGCTGCCTCAGTTTCTCCTGGAAAGCAGGTGAAGCCCAGTAGGGTCCTTCTGGCCTGTGGGCCCCTCCCTGAGAGGCAGGGCAAGGAGCAGCCCAGTCCCCTGGTGCTTCCAGAGCTGTGCACCTTCTCCTCAGGGCAGGCAGGGATGAAAGCGACAGAGGGTGGGCAGGGGCTTCCCTTGGGCTCCCCCTCACTCCTGTGGGTCCCCCATTGTTGCCCTGACAAAGGCAGCCCTGTTCCTCCCCACAGCTATTCCTTGTCAGCATCCCTCAGCATTTTGGCTGCAGATTTCCTGCCCACTGGCAGCCTCTCAAGAGGCAGAACGTGGATGGAAAGGGGATGAGTGGAGCAGGCTGCTGCAAGGTGGCTCCTGGCTGTGGGGTGAGGCAGGGCCAGGCCTAGGGATCTCTCCAGCAGGGGAGGGGTGTCCCCAGAAATGTCTGGATTCTCCTCCCTGAAGTCCCCCAGCCTGTGCTGAGCCAGCAGGGACCTGCCCTGGCTCCCCAGTACCATGAGGTCAAGTGGCTGGCTCAAAGCCATACAAGAGCCAGGACCTGAAGCAGAATGAAGGGATTCCATGCCTGAAGCAGGAGCTGTGGCCACTGAGCTGGCTCCACCATCCCTTCCCTGGCACTGCTGTGCCTGGCTCTGGCCTGGCCTCTTTGATGCTGGCTTTGCACCACGCTTGGCTTCATGGTGGGGTCAACTGTGAGACCCCAAGAGTGCAGAGACTGAGCCTTGGGAGCAGGGTGATCCAGGCTCAGGAGAGGCTCTTCCAGCTCCTGTTCACCTCTTCCCACACTGGCCAGCAGAGAGGGATGAAGGCTGTGGAGCTGGGGGGGTCAGTGCTGGCCTGTGTGTGCGTTTCACTGGTCCTGCACAGGATCTCATGGACATCCATCCCCACAGCCACCAGCTCAGGCCAAGATTTCTTGGGGAAAGCCCTGGCAGCCTCTCCATGCTCTGGGGTCACTCCACGTCCTTTGAGGATGGAGGAGGAGGAAGGGGGCCCGGATCCCCCAGGCCGTGCTTTGCCTTTGGGGAAGCCTCCTGCAATGGAGCAGCGATCCCTGCAGTAAACAAACCCTTCCCAGGGCTGCTAATGGGAACCATCTGGCAGAGAGGGGCCCCTCGCCCTCTGCACTCACTCTCCTTCCCTGTCGGGACCCACCGGGCCGGGAACTGCTGGGTCTGCATTGGGATCCAGCCCCGCTGGGTCAGCATCGGGAACGGGCCGGGTCAGCATCGGGAACGGGCTGGGAATGGGCCGGGTCAGCATCGGGAACGGGCCAGGCCTGCACCGGGAACAGGCTGGGAATGGGCCGGGTCAGCACCGGGATCCAGCCCTGCCGGGCCTGCATCGGGAATAGGCCGGGAACGGGCCGGGCCTGCACTGGGTCAGCACCGGGAACGGGCCGGGCCTGCACTGGATCTACACTGGGATCCAGCCCTGCTGGCCCCTCTGGAGAAGGGAACAGGGAAATGCTCCCTGCACCCTCCTGGCTGCAGGAAACCTGATCTGTCAGAGGCAGGCTGAGGCTGGGGACTGCCCTGGGGCCACCCCAGATGTTCCCTCTCCCTCCATCTGCCCCAGGGTCAGGCAGGAAGGTGCGAGGGGATGCAGGAGGCTGTTGGGGAAAAGCTCTGTGATGGAGCAGTGTTGCCTTCCTCCCCTCAAACTCCTCCCTGCTTGGAGCCATCAGTTGCTGCAAGGGGCAGGATGAGAGAGGCTGGAAGGCAAAGGGGTTCTCTCACCTTGTCCTGAGCTGAAAACCTGAAACTGCTGGCATGACCTGGAGAAGAGGACAGTCCTCACTTCTGCTCTTCCCAGGCTGTGCAAGTGACTAAGGACTTTAGGGAGCAGAGATTTGGGACAGTCAGATCTGGCATTTATGGTGCCAGTCTCCACTGTGGGCTTTGTCACACGTGCCCGCTGCGCCCCTCAAAGCCAGCGCGCCCCAAGGCTTCCCAAGCCCCTATGAAGGCTTTGTAGCATCAGTGTAGCAGCTTGTCCTTAGGCTCTGCCTGTGTCACCACATTCCCCCTCTCCTGGAGGCTGCTGGTGGCTGCCTTGGGCCCCAGCCCCAAGCTGTGCTCCTGAGAAGAGCCATGACAGCAGCCAAGGGCCTCCAAGAGTCCCTCTTGCAGTTTCTCACTTGCTCTGGTTCCCTTATCGCCCCAGCACACCCTTCCCCTTTGAGATTTCTGCTCTTGCCTCCTGCCCTGCAGCAGGAAGGAGGTTTGAAGGCTGAAGAGCAGCAGCTGCAGCGAGGTGCTGGCTGGAAGCACCAGAGGGTCTGTGCATGGAGGACAGAGGGGCTGGGTGGGAAACATCCTGCCATGGGGGGGATAAGTGGGTGGAATTGAAGGGAAAGGGGTTTGGGTGCATGAGGAGCAGAGAAACAAAGAGTGGGTGGGAGCAAAAATGGGTTTATCAGAGAACCCCTGAATGGTTTGGGTTGGGGGGACCTCAGAGCTCATCTCATCCCACCCCTGTGCCATGGGCAGGGACCTTCCACTGGAGCAGCTCCTGGGGAAGGGCACCAGCGGTGTGGGGAGTCTGGAAAAACCCAGGGAAAGAAAGTGGGACAGGGGAGGAAGATGAGCTGCAAGGGAAGGGAAGCTGGGGGAGGGCAAATGTTTGTAAGAAAGGCTGGGGTGAAGGTGAAGAGCAGGTGAAAAGGGAGAGGGTTGTGCATCTGTGTCAGAGCTGTGTGTGGCGTGGGGACACCAGGTCTTTGGGGTCCCTCATGTTCCCTGCAAGGTCCGTGCTGGGCTGCAGGACCTGACAGACCCCAGCAGCACAAAGAGCAGGTCCTGTCCCAGGAATGGGGGCAGGGAGGGGCTGTGGGGGTGGCCCCCAGCAGATGCTGGGTTCAGCAGCAGCAGCAGCAGCCTGCGAGCAGGCTCAGAGCAGGAAATAACAACCAAACCGCAGCGAGACGGGAAATGATTCTGATAGAGCAGGGCTGGGCCTCAGCTGGGGCTGGGAAACGTTTGCAAGCAGGGCTGAGAGGGGCACCCAGCACCTGGGGAAATGCTCTTTCAACTCTGAAAGCAGCCATGAATTTTAGGTGCTTTGCTGATGTAACTCAGGCCTGCTGGGGGTTTGGCAGCCAAAGAGCCCCCTAAAGCCCAGGACACGTTTGCAAATGTCCCTCTGAGGTGGGCATTGAGGAGATGCCCCTGCCCCAAGCCCTCCACCCTGACGTGTCCCTGCCCTGGGGCTTTCTCAGTGTCTAGCCCAGTCCTTGGGCAGCAGGAAGGTTTTTGGGGTTGGCAATATGAGGCCAAGGGGGTTCAGTAAGACAGGGAAGCAGCCTCAGGCAGAGGCAGGTGCTGGTTTTCCAGCCTCTAACTCATCCCCATCATTGCAGAGCCACCCCTTCCCCCTTCTTTTCTCTGCTCTGCTCCTCCCTTGGCAGCATCACTCAGCCCCACAGCTCTGTCCTCTGTATTCAAACCAGGGCTCATCTTTCACGGGTGTTTTGAGGGTAAAGTGTGGTGGGGAAAACCCCTGAGGAGCTGTCAGTGCCTTTTTAGCTCTTTTTTACCTAAAGGGGTGATTTGCAATGCTGGTGTTTTTTTCCTGTGCTGGTCCCAGCCCTGTCAGCCTCATCCTCCCAGGCACATCACAAGGGCTCAGCCTAAAGGCACCGAAGACAAAATCCCCATCACTGGCTCTGCTGAGCTGGGATCAGCAAGACTTTTCTGGGCTAAAATTGGACTCAAACCACAGTCCCTTCCTCCAGCAACACCAGTCCTTGAGTGGCTGCATTAGTGAAACACGGGGTGCTGGTTTTGCTGCCTTGATTCAGGACCAGCCTTGCTGCCAGTGGTCATTGCCTGGCAGGTGCTTCCACTCATGGGTTTGGAGTAGAAGCCATCCCATCGCCTTCCAGGTGTTCAGAGCCCCAGACCCTCCAGCTGCTATCACAGTATTCCAGAGCTGCATCTCCCTGTGCCTCAGTCTCTGGGAAGGGCTGATCTGACCCTGCAGGGAGCTTTGAGCACACCCCAGCTCCTGCAGAGCTGCTGGGTTTGGTGATGAAACCAGCCCCACTCCTGATGACATTTCCTTTCCAGGTGTTGCAAGAGGTCTCTCTTTGACGCCTCTGCAGGGAACCTCGACCCACAGCCTTCAAGCTGAGGATTAAACAGAGGGAGAAGGGGAAGGAGCCATGTTCCAGGCCACGGGAGCAGCCAGCCCAGCCCCAGCTCATGTACGTGAGGTTTGTACCCTGGGGTTTGTAGGGGAATTTCAGCTGGGTTTGGGTTCTCAGGGGGGAGGGCTGTACACAGAAGCTGTGTTCCTGACCTGACACTTTAGGGTGATCAAAGGCACAGCCACAGCTACTCAAGGAGCAGAACTGGGGACAGGAATGTTCCAGCAGAAGGTGCTGTTTGCTGAGCACACTGGACGCCAGCCTCAGGCTCTGCTCCATCCACAGCTCCTGGAGCTGCTGTCTGTTTGTTTGTGTTTCCATGGCTTTCCGTGATCACAATTGAGAGCTTTGGAGCTGGAGTGATTGGAGATGGAAAAACATAAAGGTTCAAGAACATCTCCTGCTGGGACAGGATATGGCCCTTCCCCGAGGGAAGATCTATCAGATATGGAATGGAGAGTGTGCCTGGCTGGCCAGGAGGCTGCCGAGAAGTGACAGCAGCCCTGGGCTGCTGCAGCCTTGGGAACGGATGTCTCAGCTCCAGAGAGGCAGCTTTTCCTCAGCTCTGGTCAGCTGAGCCTGGAAACAGCACATTAAACCCTAACCCCAGGAGAGCAGCTGTGGTTGTTCTCCCAGTGCCAAGGGATGCAACTGGTTTTACACAGCCTGAGCCTCCTCCTGCCCATGGCCCACTGTTGACTTTGGCTCCTGCTTCCAGCCTCGTGGGACTGGGAGGAAAATCACAAAATCATGTCCCTGACCTCAGGCAGTGAGAGCAGCTGGGAAACCTCTGAGGAGGCAGCTCGGCGAGGGGAGAGCTTCCTGTGCCTCCCTTGGACAAACTGTTTCCCAAAATACAAAGGAGAAACGATGGGGAAGGACAGGGCAGGAGGAACAGGGGGTGGGGATCAGCCTGGGGCAGAGAGGGGCAGTGCTGGGCAGGCAGAGCCAAACTGGGTGACATCCTGGGGTGACATCCTGGGGTCACACTGCCCTGACCTTGGGAACAAGGCAGGAGGGGGACGAGCCAGCCCTGGCTGGTCACCTTGCTGGAGTGCCCTTGGATCTCGGCTTTGGGAAGGAGAGAGCACTTCCATCAGTGCCCAGGAGGGTGGAACTGCTGGGGTGGCTGTCAGGAGCCAGCAGGTGTGGGGTGGGTGCAGGATGTGCACTGGTGAGGGGAGATTTGGAAGGGATGAGCTGTTGCAGCTGCAGGGACTCGATGCAGAGAGACCCTGCCTGAAACCTGGGGCACAGGTAGGGGCTGCTCAGTGCTTGGGGCTGTGCCCCTGAGCTGCAGCAGCCCCAGAGCTCAGAGCTCTGCCCTGTGCCCTCCTGTGCCCTCTCCACACCCCCAGGGCTGTGCATCTCATTTCCTGCACAGCCCCACTGTCAGGGCTGAAGGGAAGAAGAGGAACTGGAAACAAAACCTTGGCCCCAGGAGGCTCTGGGACAGCGAGGGGCACCCAGCTGTGCCCAGGGGGAAGGGGCCACTGCCCCCTGAGCCTGGGCAAGCACCCACAGGGCAGCATTTCCCCCTGAGCCCTGTGCAGCTCCAGCAAGGGGAGTTAATTACCCCCTCCCAGGGGCAGGAGCAGAGCTGCTGTGTGGAGGTGCATGGGTCACAGGTGATGGTTTGCAGGTGCAGGTACAGAGGGGTTTGGTCAGGGTCTTGTGCCAAGCTCTCATTTTGCTTTCTCCTTCCCTTTTTAGGAGGCCAAAAGCAGCTCAGGAGGCAGCACAGTGCAGCGCTCCAAGGTACCTTTGCTTTTGCTACACCATAGACTCATCCCAGAATGGCCTGGGGTGGAAGGGACCTCAGAGCCCACCCAGTGCCACCCCTGCCATGGCAGGGACACCTTCCACTGCCCCAGGCTGCTCCAAGCCCTGCCCAGCCTGGCCTAGGGCACTGCCAGGGATCCAGGGGCAGCCCCAGCTGCTCTGTGCCATCTTGGCAAGGGTGGAAGGGCCAAAAGCCCCCGGGCCAAGCTCCCACCCAGCCCAGCATCAGTGGAGTGGCCCAGGGAGGGTGAGGGAGGTGGGGCTGCCTCCTGCTCCTCAGTGCTCCGGTGAATGGAGGGCAGTGGAGGGATCCAGGTTGTCCCAGACTCCTTCCTCATCCTCTGTGTCCCTTTGCTCTGCCCTTGGCCAGTCCTTCAGCCTGAAGGCGCAGGTGAAGGAGATGTGCACTGCCTGCCAGAAAACCGTGTACCCCATGGAGCGCCTGGTGGCCGACAAATTCGTCTTCCACAACTCCTGCTTCTGCTGCAAGCACTGCCACACCAAGCTCAGGTGAGCCAGGCTGTCCCTGTGCGGGGACAGGTGCCACTGCAGCTCTGCAGAGACCCTCCCAAATAGTCCCTCCCATTACAACCCCTCCCTTGACAGTAGCCAAAGCCCCCCAGCCCACCCATCACAGCAAAGCAAAGGTTTATGTGCACACCTGGGCCCAGCTAAACCCTACCTGGTATGGAAGGAGAGAGGTTCCCCATGAGAGCAGCTCCAGGGGAACACGGAGCTGAGCCAGAGCCTCCTTCTAGAGGACTCAGGGCCAAGCTGAGCTCCCCTGGGACCCCCCATTTCTCCTCTCAGCAGCCCCCAACAGCCTCTGCTGTTGGCCCTAAGGGTCCCCTCCTGCATGTTGTCCCCTCTGCTGTCCCGGTGTCCCCAAGCCCCCCAGTTTCCCCAGTGTCCCTGCCTGCTAACCCTGCCCTCCCTCCCCAGCCTGGGCAGCTACGCCGCGCTCCACGGGGAGTTCTACTGCAAGCCCCACTTCCAGCAGCTCTTCAAGAGTAAAGGCAACTACGACGAAGGCTTCGGGCGCAGGCAGCACAAGGAGCTGTGGGTGCACAAGGAGGTGGAGAGCGGCACCAAGTCGGCGTGAGCGGGGCCAGCCCCGCCCCCGGAGCCCCGCAGAGCCGGAGGAGCTGAGCCGGGAGAACTGAGCTGATGTAGAGCAGGACCTGGGCCAGGGGCGAGGGGGAGCCCCTCTTTGGGGGTGCTCAGAGGGGTCCTGCAGGCTGTGAGGACAGGGCAGAGGTGAGCGGGGTGCAGCCCCCAGACCTGGAGCCCTCTCTCTGCAGGCCCCTCTGCCCAGTGAGATCAGAGCAGAAGCAATGCCCCCCATGGGACCCCCAGCCCTGTTGATCCATTTCAGGCCTTGTCACCATGGAAAAGGGATGAGCTGGGGGCTTCTCCAGCTTTTGAGCCACTGCAGAGCTCCCAGCCACACCAGCCCTGCACTGCTGGGGCTCTGGATGAGGAGGGTCCCTGGTTTACATCAGCTCAGTTCAGCTGGGATGGTTCAGCCTTAAGGTTTCACAGTGTCTGTTTTTTATATTTGCCTTCTGGTACGTTCTGCGCTGGAGCCTCGCGGCAGCTTCGCCTGCGCACCTTTATTTTTGTAATACAAGGTTTCCCAGCCTTCCCTGTCCTGTCCTGTGTTCCCAGGGGCCTGGGGAGGTGCTCAGGTCTGCCTCTTGCTGCTCAGGCAGTGTGGAAATAGCAGTGTGGAAATAGCTTGTGTCCTTGTGGGACCAGGGAAACCTTCCTGGGTACCTGTGTGTCAGTGAGGCTGGGGGAAAGGGAGGCAGGGAAGGGGAAGAGGCTGCCCTCCCTTCTTTGGGGAGTGCCCAGAGGGCTCCTGCACACCATGAGGAGTAGGCAGAGGTGGCCAGGGTGCAGGCCCCTCACCAGAAGCCCCCCCTGGAGCCCCCAGGTTTTTGGGAACTGAGCCAGCTTTTCAAATTCCACATGGGTCTTGCCCTGTGAGCTGCACAGCCCAGCTGGAACCTTCCACCAGCTTCCAAATGGAGCCCAGAGCACCCTCAAAAGGCATCCACCAGCCTGGGGATCCCCTAGGACCAGATCCACCCCTTTGCCCCGATGTGTCTCACGCTCTCCCCATCATGCCCTGTGCCTCAGTGGCTCTGCCAGGGGCAGGATGGGGTCAGTGCTGGGCTGGCCTCACAGGTCTGCCCTGGGATCACCCCACTTCCAACCCCTGCTTTGGACACCACAGGCCCTACAAATAATGAGCCCAGCAAGCCCTGCCAGGCTGGAGACACCAGTGCAGGAAAACCAGAGAACGTGGATGAGTCTGGTTTTAATTATTATTTACCTCTTTCCTCCAGGCACACTTTGTACAGCTGTGCTCAGGAACCCCTATTTGTCTTTCAAATTCTACAGGAATTGAGCTTTTCAGAGCCCCCACATAGAGCAGCAGCCTGTGATATCAACATCCCTGACTGATCCCATCAGCTCTGCCGAGCACGTCCTGTCTGGGAGAAGCCAAACACAGCCATGGAAACAGGAGATAAAAATGAAAGAGGGAGGAAGATGGGGATGGGTAGCCCAGAGGAGGAAGAAATGGGAGTCTCTGTGGTGCTCAGTACAGCCCTGCTGGGGCTCAGGTGTGCACCCACAGCCAGGCAGAAGCCCCACAGTGGAGATCCCTCATGGTCACAGTGACATCTGATTTTGGGGACAGCACTGGCTGAGTGACCAAAGCCTGATGTTGGACAAGTTCATTCTCCTTTTCACTGAATGTCTTTTCAAAGGGCTCCTGGGACACGCAGCCATCACAGGGACTGTGCACACACACCCTGGCAAGGCTCTCAGGGGGCATTTGGGATTTACACCCCAAAAAAGCCACCCCTGAGCAGCCCTGCTTGAGGGGCTGTGATGCTGCAGGCTTGGGGCCCCTTCCCTGGCCCCTTCCTTCTTCAGAAGGCTCAGAAAATGAAAGCAGAGCCCTCAGTTCCACTTCCTGCCTCTGGCAGGCCTCACTTCCCATTCCCTCAGCTCCCAGGCTGCTGACAAGCAGCATTTTAACAATGCAGGAGGATTTTAAGGAGGTAGGGAAGCATGGAACCCCCAGGTTTTTAAGGTTGGGTTTTCAGTTAGAAAGAGAACATTAAACCAGAGAAATAATGACCTTTCCTTCCCTCCTCCTCCCTCTTTGGGAAGAACCTCCTCAAAGTGAAGGTAACAGAGAGCTGCCAAGCTCCTCCTTTGGCAAAGGCAGGAGCTGGGGGCTCTGACACACAGGGGGTGTCAGGTTTGTTCTGGTTCCAGGAGACATTTCTGGTCTGAGACAACTGCACCTGATGGGTCTCACCTGTGCTTGGTTCATGGGCAGGGTTTCTACTGCATCAGCTGCTTCCTCCCCTTCTGGTCTGCTCACATTTTACACTGACAAATATTCCAGTGTTACATCCCAGGAAAAGGTGGCTGGAGGCTGCTTGTGGGGAGGCCAGCTCCCCAAGGGCCAGAGTGGCACCCAAACACTGATTGAGTGACAGTGACAATGAAGAGAGAAGCTGCATGAACAGGAAAAAAAATCAGCCTTTCAGCAAGGAGAACAGATGCATTTTATAGCAGCACTATTTTGGTTTGTTCCTAACACAGCAAGCTGAAAAAAAAAACAATAACCTGGAAGTATTTGGAGATGTGGTTACCCATTCTCCTGCCCTACTCAGGGACAGCAAATTCTCTCAAATCACTGGAACTGTCAGTGCAAGACATCCAGATTCCTCCACTTCATCTGGGAAGCTCCATTTCTGGAAGGGAGCTCATAGTATCATCCACTTGTCTGAAACACAGAGGTTTTCCTTCTCCAAATTTTTGCTTTTTAAAAGGACAGTGACCAAAACAGGCTTTCATATAAATGATAATTTTATTGTAAATAAAATGATACATTGGCCTGGCTTTGCACTGCAAGCCCCCGGTCGGTAAATAGAGACTACTGGGTCGAGGTCTTCTGCACAGTCCAGGTTAAAGCCCTTTCTCCCTGCTTTGCATCATTTATGGTGATAACAAAATCCTTTTCTCCCTTTTGGAACTGCTCCTGGCACACCTGCCTCTCCCCTCCTGTGCTGGTAACTGGTGCCAATGGGAACTCTTTGGAGCAGCTTCCAGACCTTTGGAATATTATTCCAAATTAGGCAAAAAAAACCACCCCAAAACCCCATCCCAATTGATGCAACCTAACTGCCACAGAATGGGCAAAGATGGGATTTTCTGGAGAACAAGCAAATAACCTGGAATGCACAGAATCGTCACACCAAGACCAAAATGTCACTGCTTTGGTTCCTCACTGCCTCAGGGACAGCCACATTCCCCCAAGTTCCTCTCCAATGGGAATCTTGGACAATTTTCTGATTAGTTTGAACCATTTCAGGACACTGGGACTCTGATAAGAAATTCTTTGTCAAACAGAATATTCTCCATTTCTGCAGCACTTTCCATCAGGGACCCCAATACTCAATATTCCCTATATATCCTTCCCTGGAAGGAACAGCAGGAAATCCAACATGACATTTGGAACTGACACAATAGCTTATTGTCAGCCTGGCACTCCTCCTCCACTCTTCCCCAAATGAGTTTATTCCCAGTTTTTTCCTAGTCTGCCAGGATAAAGAGGCCAGATTTAATTCAATTCTGAGGTATAATTACATTTCTGTCCACTTGAAACTCTTTTGCTGCCAGGGCTGTTAAAAGCCCAATGTCAGCCCCAAGTTATTAATCAGAGCAGTGGACTCAGGAATCCAGATCTTCCTTTTCCATAATCAAGAGGGCTGTGAGGAAACAAAGAGGCATTTTGGCTCGGCTCTACTCATTATAAACCATCAGCAAATTCTCTGCAAAACCAGCTGCTTTTTTTCCTTTTTAAATTCATAAAGGCGTCAAATTTATTTCCCCACCTCCCCCCCACCCCGTAACAGTCGATATATATAAAAATCACCAAATATGATCTTTTACGATATAAATTAAAAAAAAAAAAAAAATAAAATGAGGCATCACCGTTTACATGATGTAAAAAGAGCTAAAAAAGAGCGATATAAACTACATTCATAAAAGTGCATCTCCAAACATACAGGCAATGCTTTGGCTTGTTCCTGTGCCGAACGCGCCAGTCCGAGCTGGCCCTGTGTTCTCTGTCACTGTACAGGGGGTGCTGCTCCCTGGCAGGCTGGGATGCAGGGGTTTGGCACAGAGGAGGCACAGCCAGCCCAGGGAAGGGCTCTGAGCTCTGGGGACAGCCCTGAGCCATCGTCAGTCCTGGCTGCTCCTGCTCTGCTCTGCTCTGGAAGCGCCTCCCGGGATGCGGGTGAGGTAAAAGCCACGACAGCTCCTGAGGATTGAGGTGCTTTGACAGAAGTTCTGCCCTTTCCTCACGCCCTGTTCTCTCCCAGATCACAGCACGTGGGACAGCAAGGGAAAAACCAAGGGAGGAGGTCTGGATTTGGTGAGGACAAGCCAAGGACAGAGGGATGCAGACGTCATGGTGCTCCTGATTCCTGCAGGTGATGGGCAGGGGATGAAGACTCCAATCTTTGGTATATTTAGGATGCAAGGCTTGAAGAGCTGGTGCTGACCCCCCTCCCTTTGTCATGCAGACTGCAGGGATGGTCCCACACTCCCAGCAGAGTGGTGAAAACTCCCCAGCTCCGAGTCACAGCCTCACCTCCCCTCATGGCAACAGTGAAGTGCAGGCCAGAAGCCAGGCCAAGGGCCTGGACAACTTGGAGTCAAGTTCCTGGCTGGGAAAAGATCAGTTGAAGTGCTCTCACTATAATTAAATAAATTATGGAACAAGGGCTTTCATGAAAGGGATCCCCTAAGTGCCCACAAGTGGGACAGTGCATCCTTGGAGCAGTGCAGGGAGCCTGGAAAGAAAACCAACACCAGTTTTTATTGGCTACACTTTGCTCTGGGTTTGGCACAGAAAAAACATTTCATATTGTTAAAGCTTTTCAGGACTTTTGGTTGGTAGGGGCTTTTAGGGTTCTTTTTTTTCCTCTTTTAATTCAACACAGTATTTTTCATGTGTTGAAGGAGCTTGGTTTCATTAAAACTTCCCATATCCTGCTATTAGTATTCACTTAAAAACTTAATTTTACTGCATTATGAAGCAATTTTCAATTTTTTATGGGGGAGAAGAGTGGAGGTGTGTGGAACCTTAATATGGTTTCCAATTCAAGAGCAGAACACCTTCAGTGTTGCCCTATAAAGCAATATTTTAGTTAATTAACATTTGCTTTTCTTAGCTCAATTTCTCAGAGATAACTTATAATCACTCCATGAATCCCCAGCACTTAAGAACTGCTGGTCTTTCACGAGTGAAATAAAGATTATTAGTGCCCAAATCAGCACAGAGGAATTGAGGCCATCAGGACCTCAGTCCTCTGACCTGTGCTGTGTTCCAAGTGCACAATCACTTGGATATGCTTTGCTGGTACCTGCATGGGGATCTCCAGGTAATTTTTAGATATTTGCTACCATTTTAAATGTTGTCTGAGGTTCCCTGTTTGACTTGAGTCCTACAAAAACTTATTTAAGTTAGGCCATAGCATTTTTATGGAACTCTTAAACGATCACTTGCACACCTGTAATTCAAACAATGCACAGCAAAGCTGAGCTTGATTCCAGCTCCCTGTGCACAACACAAGTGTCCAGGTAATTCTCCCCAAGAAACCCTCAGTTTTCCATTAGGCCATGTGCTCAAAGAAACTCTGAAGTAATTTCCTGGGCACCAGATGGATTATCTTTGGTTAAAAGGATGGTAAAAAGTTACCAGCCAAAGAGACAGATGCAAGAGGAAGCTGAATTCCATGGAATTCCCTTCCAGAGGGGTTTTGTTTGGACCCAGCAGCCCCAGAGAGAGGAAGCAGGAGCACAGATTTGTTTGGTATGACACAAACTGAGTGGCACTGTCCAAATGCTGGGACAGGTCAAACCTAGCTCCAGATTTTCCAACATGAATGGGAGAGCCCTTCCCTCAGGCCCTGGAGTGATTGCATTCTGCTGAAACTTCTCTGATTATCCTGACATTTAGCTGGAAAGAACTCCCTCACCCCCAGCCCCAAATCCAGGGGTTCATTATAAAATAACACTATTCACATACTTTTGAATCAGTATCTTCTGAACACCTTCAGATGCTGAATACTCAAGAAGAAAAATATACCATACTATAGTGGACATGACACATGGCTTTTTGCTGGATTCAGGTACTGGAGATGCCTCTGGAGCCCCAGGAGGGGAAAACCAGGGGCTCCCCCTGGCAAAGCTGGAGGCTGGTGCATGTTTCTGTTTTGGACAGAGAGGAGCTCTTCCAGCTTTCTTTCAGATTTCTCCTATGTTCAACCAGTGATGACACTTGTCAGATTCCCCTTCCTGCAGGAAACACGCAGCCAGCTGCAGGGTCACAGCCAGGTAGCAAAATCTGGGGCAAAACCGCAGCTCTGCTTGGGCAGCTGTCGGCAGGACGAACACCAGTCCAGCACACGAAGGAATCAGGCACGAGAGCAGACCCTCAGTTCCTTGGCAGAACTTCCCAAAGGACCGGGCCTGGCTGAGTTGGCATTTTCAAGATGCAGCACCACAACGGGCAGTTGCAACTGGACGAGACAGGGCACGGAGAGCCCGGCAGGAGCTGCGAGCCAAGGGAGGTAATTCAGTACTGGAGCTGTGCAAACTGGTGTCTGAGCAGCTCTTCAGCAGAGGGTCTGTGCCTGGCTTCCACAAAGATCTGCTTTAGGAAGTCCCGGCAATGTTCCGATATGTGCGAGGGGAGCTGGGGGTTGGTGGGCTGCGTGGCGATTTTGAAGATCGCTGCCATGGCTTCGTACTCTGCCCACGGGGGCTTCTCTGTCAGCATCTCCACCACGGTGCAGCCCAGGCTCCTGGAAAGCAGACAGGGAAAAACCAGATGAGAATTCTCTCAGTAATGCCCAGCGTTCAGGGAGAGCTCCCCAGCAGCTGCTTTTCCTGTGCCAGGGAAGTGCCACATGTCCCGCTCCCCTTTGCTCAAATCCTCCTCTCAGGGAACATTTGTGTTATCAGGGGGCAAGAGGTGCCAGCAGGACGTCCCTGAGGGCACCATCTGACCCTGCTGGTCCTCCAGGTGCTGCTGCTTCTGTTGTACCTCAAAGGCACTTGGAGAATCACAGAGTCACAGCAAGGGTTGGGTTGGAAGGGACCTTCAAGACCATCCTGCTCCAACCCCCTGTTCCAACCACCTTCCACTGGACCAGCCTGCTCAGAGGCTCAACTTGCTGAGCTGCAAGGCAGAACTTAGCAGTTCTTTTTAACAAACAGTCTAACAGACTTTTTAACACTCAAGGTTCAGTGAATCGGAGCTTGTTGACCCCACAAAGCCATTTCAGCAAAATCCCTTTTCAGTCACAGCCTCAAAATGCCCACGTTGGGAAAAAAATAACCTAATAATATCTCTACAAGAAACCAAGCATCACTCAAAAAATAATTGAAGTCGTAACAGTTCCCAAGTGGGAAGGCAGTAAGTTAAATCCCTGTGGGACAGATGCATCATTACCTTAAGGAAAAATTCCTTGTAAAGTTAATGGGGCTCTGCAGGCTACTTCAGGGCAAGGATGTGATGCTGGGGACATGGCTGAGCCACCTTTCTGAGGCAACGTGACTCCAACACCTTCCCAGGGAAGATGGCTGCTGTAGCACCGCACTGGTTGGGGTTTATTCAAAAGATTAATTGCTTCCTCCAGGCCACAGATTAAGTAAAAGCCATTAGTGAGTTTTTAATATCCAATCCTGTGGTTTTATCACGTATTTACATTAAAAAGGCAGAACTGCCTTCTCTACCTTAAAACTAAACCTTCTTTTGAGGTGAAATGCAAGGAAAAGGATGTTGAGAGGCAGACTTGCATCAACTGCCAAGACAAGAGGGAAAGGAATTAAATGCAGTGAATATGCAAGAACTGATTTCTTGACAAGGTCTGAAATCCAACGTGAAAATTTTACAGTTTTCCAGCCATTTCAGGCTTACTAGAAGAGAGTACAGAAAATGCAAACCATGTGTGCTGAAGTGCTGGGGGTTTGCTCAAAAGCAAGCAGGGATATATTATTGTTTAGACTGATTTATACCGTTTAAGCAGATCCGGTTTCTTTAAGATATTCAGCAAACAGCAGGAATGTTTTTCATGTCAAGTCACTCCAGCAATAACAAATAGCTCACATATTCTGCTATTTAGGAAAAAGAAAACTGGAGAGGGGCCTGCAGCAGTGGCACAGAGCCAGGTGGATGGATTTGTTACGTTTCTGAGCCTCTGGGCCATACACATCCACCCTGGGACCAGCGCTGCACTGGAAAATTCTGACCCCCCCAAAATAATGATTGGGATTGTAGGAACTGGAGTCTGGCCAATGGCAGCAGCTTTTTGATGGGAATGGACCAATGTCAGCACCAAGAGGAAATCCACAACTGCACCAGCCCAGGGGGAAGGGCACGTGCTCCACTCTCTCCCCAAGCATCCCAAATGGGAGAGTCTGCAGGACTTAACTCTTTGCAGACAAGACAAGTTTCAGCCGTGTTTCCACTTGCTGCTTGTACAGGAAACAGGTCCTGCTTTACTGTGGAGGCACAACCAGACCTTTTGTCCCTGTTGTTTACTTAAGTTTTATAATCTCACCTTTTTAAGGCCCCCAAAATTAACATTTTGGCACAGGACCATTTTGCTCTTTTGAGAGAGGCTGTTCCTTGGCTATGCCAATAATAGCACAGCTACAGTTTCCATTCATGCAGATCACCTCTGATCTGACCTGGATCTTTTCTGTTATTCCAGGTTCGAGCATCTTTCCTTTAAGGCTAAAATTCTATTAATCTCCAGTACATTTTAAGCATAACTCTCATTTTATATCTGAATGAATGGGCTTTCCCTAGACAACCTTCAGCTGCTCTTCTAAGGGGTATCATAGAATCACAGAGTCTCCTGTGTTGGAAGGGACCCACAAGGATCATCATCCCAATTCCTGGTCCTCCATAGGACACCCCAGGAATTCCACCAAGTGCCTGAGAGCATGAGAAGGATGAAAACATTGCACCAGCCAGAAAGCAAAAAAAACCAGCTATCAGTTTGAGTGAGGAATGAGTGGAAACCGCTCCTGAAAAACGAAATGAGTTGCTGGGTGTTAACACCGCCAAGCACAGCTGGCAGAAGATTATGTCTTGAATTCCAACCAGCGGCTTCAATTTTCTTTCAACTTTTCATCCAGACAAGGTGTGAAGCTGGATGCTCAGATGGCAGAAGGTGCTGCTGTGTGTGTGTGCAGAGATCTGTGGGCAGCAATGAGAGGCTCACCACACGTCTGCCTTCCTGCCGTAGCCCTCGCCGCTGATCACCTCCGGGCTCATCCAGTACGGGGTGCCCGTGACGGAGCGGATGCCTGTCCCCGACATGCAGATTGTCTGCAGCCTTTTGCTGGCCCCAAAGTCCCCCAGCTTCACGTTCCCAGCAGAGTCACGGAGAATATTGGCACCTGGACAGAAGCAGAAAAACACCAAGACAGCTGTTTTCATGAGATCCAGCTGTTGGACCTGCAGCCTACAGAACGAGATCCAAGCACAAATACCCGTGCTCATGGTATGGCTCTTTCCCCATTAAGCCTCAGGTGACCTGCTAAACATCATTTCTTTAATTCAGGTTGTAGACAAGCCAATTGCTAATGGCTGTAAATGGGAAAAACTTCAGGGAAAAACACAAGGAAGTGAAGGGGGGAGGGAAATGAGAGCTGAGTCAGCACCAGCATTGTTACAGTGCCTGTAAACAGCTCAACCAGCCTAGCAGGGCCCCCAGGCCAAGGGCTGAGAGAGAACAGAGCTGTGTAGAGAAGGATTTTATTGGGATGCTGCTTTGTGAGTGCAAGCATTGCTTTCTGGTCAGATGGGTAACAGATGTAGCTAATTAAACCCCTTTGAACTCCTACAATAAACAAGTCAATCTCCACTTGGTCCTGAACACGAAGCACCAGGGAAAAAGCAAACTTTGGAGCTTAGCTTTTTATGTGGACACAAACTGAGGTTTAGACCCCAAAACCAATTCTTCCTCCAAAACTGCGACGAAATCAAGAACCCCATTGTTACCATTATCTGGGACGTGCCCACACCAAACCCTTCTGCTCTCCAACTTGGAGCTCTTGTGCTGGAGAAGCTCTCTTGGCCTGCCCCTGCTCTCACCCTTGATGTCCCTGTGCACGATCATGTTGCTGTGCAGGTAGGAGACGCCCTCGAGGATCTGCCGCGTGTATTTGCGGGTGACGTTCTCCGTCAGGGCCCCGTACGCCTTCAGCTGGTCCTTCACTGACCCCTGCCACGAACCAAAGGGAAAGGATTGGCCAAGAGGTGACAGAGCACAGACCCTGCAGTGTCCATTCAGCTCCCAAAAGGCCTGGGTGTTATACACCAGCTGGCCCTGCAATGAACTCTGCCCTCTGCTAAAGGATTTCTATGAGCATCTTGCCCTAAGATGCCCTTTTTAAGAACAGCAAGGCTTCATGGCAAAAACAGCCTAAGGAGGTTCTGTCTTCTGGTACAACTTGTTTTGATGACAAGCAATAAAACAGTTCAGCGGACTTATCTGGGTCAGAAGCCTTGCTTTTTGGAGAGTCAGTTTTAGCCTCACTGTACCATGATTTTGGTAATTCAGTTACCAGGATTTACATGTTGGGCCAAGTTCTTTGAGGTACTTTGGTAGAACAAATTTAGACTGAAGAAAAGAACTGGCTTTAATGACTGTCACAGGGAATGTATTTCAAGTAGAAGACACTTAAGGAAAAAACCAAAGAGCTTATTTGGGCATAAATAAAATGAAGTGATGGCATTATGAGCGTGAGAAGGCACAGCCCTAAGAGGGTCTGAGGCAGATGACATAGTTAGGGGGATCACAGCAACTAATAAACCAGCTAAGAAACCCAGCCACCTCCCCTTCTGAGCCCTGACTGTGCTGCTCTTACCCCTGGCATGTACTCCATGAAGATGGTCAAGGTCTTCTCTGCTCGATCCCTTAAGCAGCCATAATACTGCACGATACGGTCATGCTGGAGGTTCTTCAGCAGCTGAATTTCACACTCCAGAGCACTCACCTCCTATGGATGTTGAAGGAGAAAAGAAGATTGCAGCCCCAGGAAACATATTATAAATATAAAGAATAATAAATTTGTCATGTCACTGGCAGGATGAGACCACTACCACGCTGAGAAGTGTAATCCATGACATCACTTTATCTGCTTCTTGGATAAGGCAAACATTACCAGGGCTTGCTGTTCATTTTTACTGCATTATCTGCAGGTATTGGTGTGGAAGCTTTGATAAAACACAGGCTGTATCATACACGGATTTAGTACCAGAAAAACTTTGTTTCTTGCCTTGATTCTGTCATCTGCATGGTGGCTGAAAGGATTCTCCACCCACAACACAGGTACAACCTCCCTTCTCTCACTAGGCTGTGGGCAGGGAGTGTAATTATGAAGCAGCTCTGAATACAGGTACAGAACTGGAACTTCAACCCACTGGAGAGCAAAACAACAGGTGCTGAGGGTTGTTAAGTTTCTGTCACCCAGTCCTGTTCTGATCACACTGATGATTTACTGGAATCAAGCCCTGCAAACAGCTTCCTCTCCTATTTACTTCAAAGAATCTGCAGCTCTGCACATGAAACTGATCCCTTGCTTTGCTCTTGCCACAGTGCAAAGTATCACAGTGCAAAGACATTATCCAACAATTTCAGATGGAATCACAAATGTTTGCTGCTCAGAAAAAGTATCAGGTTCTTGCTGAATCCAGGGATTGAACAGGAGGAACATCAAAGGTTCTGAAGCATGAGGATTTACAGAAAAAGGAATGATTTCTCCCCAAATTAGTCCCATTTTTACCTTTCCAGCCCTGCCATGGGAAGGTATCAGGTTCAGCTCTCTCACTCTGGTAGAGGATGCAGAACCTTAGAGCAAGAACCTGGGTGTTGTAGGCACACATGGAACCAGTGCAAGCTGCTTAATCAGACCAAATAATGGTATAAGGTTTGGAGTGTCAGTGCCTTCAAAATATATTTCAGCCTGTTCCTCCTCAGACAGAGTTACTGTCTGATTTACAACACAGACATAGTAGAACTTCCCAATTTAGGACATATCTTGGCACCAATATCCCATATAAAATCAGAATAATTAAATCTTCATGGATCAGTTATTCTAGCTCAAAGTGAATTTGTTCAATATTGGGAAACTGGTACACTGTTAAAACACTAGCAAAGAACCCAAAAGCCCTTCCAGCTGCATCCCCTGTGCAGGAAGCTTAGTGCTGTCCCCTAATGTCAAGGTGCATGTCCCATCTCCACTGTTGTCACATCACTGTTCTTGATTATTTTACACCCCACAGCTCCATTTGTTTTTAAGGACACAGAGAATTCAGAAGTGAAAATTGGTAATTAATGCACTTGATACAGGACGTACCACATAAACCCAGAAGTGGGTTTTGCATGTGCAAGCAGCTTTTTTTTTGTTCAAAAAAGAAAAAAAACCTCTACTCTTGCTGGATTTAGTTTCATTCACATCCATGTCTAACCAGGAACACAGGGCAGTCTAGTATTCCTCAAGCAACCTGGCAAAACCCCAAAAAGCTGAGAAAGGAGAGCCAAGAATGAAGCAAGAAAATGGATTTTAGTTTCGAGCTGAAGTTAATAACACAGAAAAGTAATTTTTAAATGACTCCTATTCTTCTCCACACGCCTCGAAACCTTAGTACCAACTAAATAAGATGCCAGCTCTCAAGGACAGACAGAGAGAGACATTGTACACGACCTCAGAGGCTTTGAGGAGCTGAGATGAGAATTACCTTGCTTGTTTCAGGGCTCTCTGGATCAAACTGCACCTGCTTGGCTGCCAGCTCCCTGCCCGTGTCCACGTCGTAGCACAGGTACACGCGGCCGAAGGCGCCCTGGCCCAGCAGCTTCCCCCGGCGCCAGTTCATGGGAGCACTTGGAGCTACAAGAGAACAGCAGTCACTCCTCCTCCCACTGCACTCTTTAAAAACAAAGGGGGGCTTTTCGAGGAGCAATCTCCACCATACAGGGGCTGAAGCAGGTATTCTGTAGGTGGATGAACATGAGGTGCTCTCCCAGAGCAAGGAGGCAGTGGCAGAGCTCTGAACAGAACCCAACCATCCAGAGTCTCAAGGATCTGCTGACTGATGTTCCATTCAAATGACACCACAGAACATTCTGCAAATGTGTTTTACAGACCAGTTATTCAATGGGCTTGGTGGAATTTCATTCTACCAGCAGGTGGATTCTACATCATTACTTTAAGAGATGATGCAGCAACTAAAGAGCAGCTTCCAACCCTTGATCTGAAGTTATCACATGCATCAGATGAAGAAGAGCTGGATTAGCCTTGCTAAATCAATCCCAGCCAGCTGGGAATGACTTAAGCTTCTGGGACAACTTGAAGGACATTATTCTGAGTTTCTTTGCCAAGCTAGTTTGGGGTTAACCTCTGTGGGAAGGATTTTACTGCAAGGCTCTCTCTAACCATAAAGATTAGAAGTCATGATTACCTACTGGACATGGATAAAGTAGGGACTGTGTCAGCACAGTGTGGGTATCTTCACCTGCTGAACAGTTAGACTTAATAAAAATACCCATGGGACCCAGGTAAAGCAGCATCTCCAAGCAGCAGGAAATTCCATCCTCAGGGCACTGGGAACCCTCACATTCATGAGCAGCAGTCTCCTGACCCAGAGATTAATACCTGAGCCCAGCTATTCAGACTGCCCTTAATCCCAAAGCATATTACTCAAAGACAAGTGCTTTAGCTCCAACTTTGAAAGCAACACTACCAGACTCCTGCAGTTCAATGCATCCAATTATGTTGGATCTAAAAAGAAACTCTAAAAACAAAGAGAAGAACCAGCCATCTGAACAGTGTGAAAATACAGAAGAGCTGAGAGATTTGCTTTGACATGTCTAATTTAATCAGATTTACTGGCAGGCAGTATTTTAGTGCGTTCCTTACTCTTCATTTTGATCCTTAAATTACTGTATGGGATATACAAAGTTCTTCAATAATGACTTATGTTCCACTTATTTTTTATTTTTGTAATAGAAAGCTGTCCAACAAAACAGCTCAAGGATGCCATTAATATAGAAGTAAATCCTTCTACTAAGGAGCAAATGAAATACAGAATAACTGTAACCCAAAAGCCTGACTGAAAATGTTAACATAGCAAGAAGATAAACAAGCTTGTCTGCCTGTTTTAAGAACCCTGTAGATCATCTAGATCAAGCAGATTTTTACTTCTTAGCTGAATTTGCAATGCTTTCTAAAGGAAAGGCCAGAAGAAATCTGAGAAGAAAAACACTTGTGGGTGTGACAAACAAGTCTCAAAGCACAGCCAGGGCACGAGTGTGAGGTGTTCACAGGGGTCTGAGGATGAGGGAAGAGATGAGGATCTCACTCCATGTTTCAGAAGGCTTGATTCATTATTTTATGATATATATTATATTAAAACTGTACTAAAAGAATAGAAGAAAGGATTTCATCAGAAGGCTGGCTAAGAATAGAAAAAGAAAAAATCATAACAAAGGCTTGTGTCTGGGACAGAGAGTCCGAGCCAGCTGGGCTGTGATTGGCCATTAATTAGAAACAACCACATGAGACCAATCCCAGATGCACCTGTTGCATTCCACAGCAGCAGATAATCACTGTTTACATTCTGCTCCTGAGGCCTCTCAGCTTCTCAGGAGAAAAAAAAGGATTTTTTTCTCCTAAGGACAAGGATCCTACAGAAAGGATTTTTCAGAAAACATCACGGCTACGCACGAGGTGGTCGGAATGGTTTGTCACAGCCAGGCTGTGGCACTGCACCGGGTCTGGAGTCCCCTGGAGCCCTCCCTGTGCCCAGGAGCCCAGCCTACACTTGGTGGCAATGTTCCTCTCCTGCACTCCCAGCGCGTTCTCGCTGTCGGCGCTGCGCAGGCGGCCCCGCGGCTCCAGGTACTGCAGGGCCAGGCCCAGGTTCTCCCCGTTGGTGCTCAGCGAGCGGCTGGAGGGCACCAGGGTGAAGAGATTCCCTTGGTGACGTCGGATCCGGGGAAACGTCCTCCGGCCTGGGGAGAAGGAGCGGCTTTAAGTAAATGCTTGCAAGCGGGAGGTAATGGCTGGGGGCTGAGCAGCGGGGAGAAGGGAGAGAAATCCCAAGTTCTGCTCTGTTCCCATGGAGCAGAATCTGCTGCCAAACAGACGAGATGCAAAAATGTAACAGCTCAGGGCTGGTGCTGCCTGAGTTCAGTACAGCCCTGGATCGTTCCCAAAGCAGAAGGCAGAGAACACTTTGTAATGCCCTCGGTGTTGTAAGATCTAAACTTACCTTCCAAAGGAAAAATCTGGTTTACAGGCTCTGAGCACAAACTCTTAACAACTACATACAAAATGACTTTCTAGATAACGTGCCTGGACTTGCAAATAAAAACCATAAATAAAGATTATGCCAACTTGCACCTCATGAAATTTTGAGAGATTATTTTGCATAAAGCCATCTGATTGAGCAGAGATACAACTCTTTAAGTCCCTGCTATATTTAAAAGACCCAGAAGCAAGTCTGCAATGCAAATTAGCAAAGTATAATGAATCTCTGTGGTAGGAAAGTACTTATATAGGGCCAAGTCTAACAATTACATCCGCAGTTCCCTACTCAGCCTGGATAACACCAGAAAGGACAAAGAATTACAAAGTAAACAAAGAATTACAAACAACAACCACTTGTCTCCACGAAAATGTGGCATCATGCAGCATGAATCTCAACACTAACAGCAAGCACCAGGGCACTTCCAGGCTCTCCAAATAGGAGTTACCCTTGTGTAGAGGTTGCCATTGCCTCAGCATTTTTCCCCAGCCTGGAATGGGAGGTGTGGGACCAACTCACCGTCGCTGTAGTCCTTGTGCTGCATGGAGACGTTGTAGCGCCGAGGGTAGGTGCCACCTTTGCCTGCTTTGTCGTAGATCTGATTCTCACGGTCTGCCAGGAGAAGCAAAGACAAAAGTGAGGCTCCTTCAAAAAAAAACGTAACTTCTAATAACAGAATTTTCCTGTAACAGCAGGTTTTTAGGAAGGGGCAATAAATAACTTCATAGCTTTTCCATCATCGTGTCCCCACTTCTTCTATTTATACAACCCCAGCAAGCAAGGAGGGCGGCCAGCCAAGAGCACAAAGTGTCTGGGTCAAATAACCTTTGTAGCAAAGACATACCTGAGAACTCCTGCCTATTGTCAGGAAAGCTCTGTGCCCTTGACATCCGCGACTTCCGAAAAGAAGGGCTAACAGAGAAAGAAGGCAAGAGTAAGTTTTGCTATTGTTTGGGGTATTTATTTTGTTGGTTTATTTTCTAAATGAACAAGTAGAGCCTTGTCTAAAAGAGATTTAAATACCCTGCAGCCAGGTGTTCTAAGAGGGGCGGCTCCACACAGGCTGCTCGCTTCAGAACTTTGTATTTATAACCTAAAGCTACTGAAGCACCAGTTTGCTGGTCTGTGGTTGTGCCAGAAAATAACACAGCCTTAAGACATAGTTAATGCTCTTTAATGCTCTTGTTAAAGCTCTTGTTTCCCTCCAAGAAAATGTATGAGATAGAAAAGAGGATTTTCTGTAGGTACAACTGGCATTTCCACCTGAGCACCCACGTTCTCACCAGTTTGTACATTTGTACCTGGCTGCTCACCTGTCCAAGGACTGGCAGCTTCCTGACACTGAGTTTTCAGCACTGCTTAGAGGGTCCAGCATCTGCAACACAGAAGAAACCACACAGCAACATGAGTGCAGTCCAGGGCCCAGGAGAGGCTGTGACAGAGGAGCAGAGCCCATGACTGTTTGCCTGCAGGATGTGCAGCTGAAGAAGGGAGTCTAAGCCTATTTAAATGTATAATTTCCCTTTATCTCCCACAGAAATTAGGTTCATATAAAATTTGAGGCAGTGCTTTAGTTGTTGAAGGACTTTGCTGTGAAAAATGCAAGCTTTAGCAGCCTTGTGCTGAGTTTTGATCCCAACTGGCTCCAGGAACAGTCTCTGCTGGTGCTGCTGCCTCCACCTGCAAGTCGCCCTTTGGCCTCACTTCCCACTTTTCTGAATGGAGAGCAGAGTTTCAAAAGCAAGAGGGTCACACAAACCTGGTAATAGGAAACCTTGTCACATGTGTGACACCGCCAAAACTGCTCAGTCAGAGCTGGAGGGGCAATGCCCAGAACAGGGAACTGCTTCTGGCAGCCCAACAAAGGCTTTGAACTTACACAGATACAATCTGAAGCTGTTTAAATGCACAAAGCAGCACTTCATAAACCCAGAATGGTTTGAGTTGGAAAGGATTTTAAGGGTCATCCAATTCCACCTCCTACCATGGGCAGGGACACCTTCCACTAAATCAGGGATGGGGCCAGGGATGGGGCAGCCACAACTTTCTGGACAACGCGCGCCTCACCACTTAAAGGTGTTGGTGCAACCAGAGCCAGTGACTGTTTGGGAGAGGAAAGGAGGGCCCAGATGCCAGCAGAGCCCCTTGGCAGGTGGGTACTCACGCACTGCTCGCTGGTCTCGGGGATGAACTCGCCCTCGCTGTGGATGCTGGTGTAGGAGCCCTGGCGGGCGATGCGCTGCTGCCGCTCGGGGACGTAGCCGGGCGGGGGAGAGCTGCGGCCCGTGTTCTGGGAGCCTGTGACAGGGACAGCTCACACTGCTGCTGGGACACTGCTGCAGCAGCCACCCCACCACAGCACAGCTCCATCCCCCCACAGGGACTGCAGAGGGTATCCCAGAGTCTGGACAGACACGGGACCAGGGAAACCAAACTGATGGGCACCAGCCCCACCAGAGCGCACCAAACCTCTACACCCCCCCAGAGGGAACCCTACAGCCTGGACAGACATGGGACCAAAGAAACCAAACAGTCTGATGTGCACCAGCCCCACCACACCACACCACAGCACACCTCTGTCCCCCAGAGTAACTGCAGAGTGAACCCTACAGCCTGGACAGACATGGGACCAAAGAAACCAACCTGTCTGATGTGTACTACCCCAACCACACCACAGCACACCTCTATCCCCCACAGTAACTGCAGAGTGAACCCTACAGCCTGGACAGACATGGAACCAGGGAAACCAAACTGATGGGCACCAGCCCCACCAGAGCGCACCAAACCTCTATGCTCCCCCAGAGGGAACCCTACAGTCCAGACGGACATGGGACCAAAGAAACCAAACTGATGTGCACCATCCCCACCAGAGCGCACCAAACCTCTACACCCCCCCAGAGTGAAACCTACAGTCTGGACAGACATGGGACCAGGGAAACCAAACAGTCTGATGTGCACTACCCCAACCACACCACACCTCCATCCCCCAGAGTAACTGCAGAGTGAACCCTACAGTCTGGACAGACATGAGACCAGGGAAACCAAACTGTCTGATGTGCACCTGTACTGATGTCTTAGATGCCAAGTGATTACTGCTCAAGCTCCTGATAAAGTTATTTCTAACCTCTTCTGCTCAACCTTCTGAGCATAATTCCAGTTCAATCATCTGTTAGTGGCACTACCTAAAGAGTTTCTCTTGTGCTACCTACTGAGGGAAACTTCACTCTTAGGGTTTATTTTTTCCTTGCAGATCTCAAAGAAGATGAAACTAGATACAGGGAGAAAAAGATCCCTTTTTGCAGTGACCTATCCACCTGCAGCTGCCACCAATTCCAACTGTGAGCTCCAGGAACTGCTGTGGTGCAGGCCAATCTGCTCGAGGTCACACATGAAGCCAGAGGCAGCAGGTGGAGATCAGCTCTCAAGCTGTGCTCCTTACAACACTGTCTTTAATTAACTGTGTGTACTCAGGTGCTAGGAAAGATGGGTAAAGATCAGCAAATATTCTCCCAAGGAAAATATTTTCTATAGAAGTTGTAATAAAGAGCGAAGGTGAAGACCTGGGAGAAGCGGACTGAAAAGCAGAGCACACACCTTTCAGGGGGCTGCAGAAGGAAAATGAACAATGCTGGCATGGCTTAGAGCACAAAGGGGGTGAAGGAAAAGGGATTCATAAAATCATAGGATCATAGGGTTGGAGAAGGCCTCCAAGATCACGAAGCCAACATTGCCAAGTCCACAGTCTGCTGCTCAGAGCTGGCACCTGATGTCCCAGGCAGCTCCCAGGGCTGCCGAGCCCTCTGGAGCCCTCTGGAGCCCTCTGGAGGGGTGGGATAAGCCTGGCAGTGCTGGGGCTGCCCCAGCCCTGGAGCACTTTCACTCCTTCCGACAGATGCCAGAGCCAGAGCCAGCCCGGCCGCTGGCACCGGCCCAGCTGCTGCTGTGGAAAGGCCCCATCCCTGGGCAGGAAAAGGAAGTCGGCACTAAATCCATGTATATCAAAGGAAGTGAGTGGAAAAAACACAAGCCCTGCCAGAATGCTTAGTAACTTTTTTTTTTTTTTTTTTTACTTTTAAATAAAAGTTATCGTTACTTCCAAAGCTCTGAGCTGGTGACAAGAGGCTGGGGCTGTTTGGAGCTCAGGAACCACACAGGTCCCTCTCCTGCCTGCAAAAAGCTTTAGCTGGACAATGCTATGGACTCTAATTGCATGGCATGGTGTGAGTTGGAGAATCTCTATTAACACCAGCAAACAGGGCACGTTCCTCTTCCAAGCCAAAGACAGGAAAAGAGAAGGAAGAAGAAGAAATTGATGCAAGACCAAGCTATTGCCAAATTACCAGCAGACCTCTGACACAACTGGAACCTTTCTGGACCTCTCATAATGTAACAGCCTGGTACTCTGACATGTTCAGAAAATAAAAGCAAAGGTTTCTTGACTGATGAATGATAAGCTGTTCAGAAAGCATCCATAAGCTGGGATTGGAGGAGAGAGTGTGTAACTGCCCCTTATCACTGTACAGCTCACCCATGACAGACACTTGCTCCAGTCTGTTGGCTTTGGCACCATTACCTGGATACCTCAGAACGTTAGTAAAGAAAAATATGTATTATAAATGAAATAATTTTGGCATTCAATTTGTCTGTTATAGAAGAAACATGGTGTTCAGACATGCATGGATACCACTTCTCAGGACCAAGGAATGTTGCTCTTTTTATGCATATTAACTTCAGTCTAGGAAGGACAGTAAAAGTCTTTTTGTCCCCATTTCAGTCACGTACTTCACAAGCTTTCAGTACTTTGTTTGCTTGCTGCTTCATAAAAGCAAATTGTAGAGAAGGGGGTCAGCAAACTCTCCACAGGATACAAGTCCCACACTGAGAGCTACTGCTCCAGCTCACAAATCCTTCCCTCTGAGCTCCCTCTCCCAGCCACCCCTGCTCAGAGCAGTGTGGATCCAACTCTGGCTTGGACCCCCCAGTATGGACACTGCTGTGCTTTAAGCTGATTTATTATTTGATGCTTTGCACTGCAAATACTGATCTAAAATCATGTAGTAATTCTGCCTCAAGTTCACAGAGTTGATGAAACTGAAGCACTCCTTTGCTGCAGTGAAGAACTTGCAAACAAAACAACTCTGACATTCCCAGCTCCTGGTACTGCCCTGTGGGACTTGCATCACTTGTCCTCAGGCATTAGCTGTGACAAGCCCCAGAATAGCTGTTGTAGCAAACAGAGTCATCCTCTGCCTCTGTTTCCAGCAGAATTTACCTTCTCTCCTTTAAACAGAGTCATCCTCTGCCTCTGTTTCCAGCAGAATTTACCTTCTCTCCTTTCTGAAGCAGAAATACGCAGAGCAGCATTTCACCTCTGGCCTTCACACTCTCACCTTCCTCCTGCACCTTCACTGCTCATTGAGCTTCACACCAAGGAGTCAAACCCTAAACCACAGACTTTTCTGGGGGTTTTTTTGGCCCATAAATCCTTGAAGGTGTTTTAGGTGTTTTAGTTTTTCATATAAAGGTTAACAGCTTTGAGAATCGTTCAAGAACAGATTTGAATTGTGCTGCATGGTTAAGAGTAGGTTGTAACACAGAAATTGGGAGAAATCAGACATATCTGCCAAAGATGGAAGTCATAAAAACTACAGAAGCCTTACATGAACCTTTCCCCCAAACAGGAGTTCACTGGGCTAACAGAAACCCAAAGAAATGAGACAAAGGTACATATTACTCTGATTTTTTTGTGCACCTCTGATTTTGTCTTGTGCTGATAATTCTAGAAGTTAAAGTTGAGGAAACTCAGAATGTAGGACACTAGCTGGATATGCAATAGTAATTCCCAGCAAAATGCTTGATTACAGGAGAGATTCCAAAGCCCAACATAAAAAAAAATCAAATCTAGGTTACATGAACTGAAATTGCCAATCTAAATACAAAGCTTAATAGACTCACATCAGCTTTCCAAATTTCTAACCACAATGGCTCTGGCTTTAGGACATCCCCTTTAGCAGCTCCTCAGCTGCTCCACAACTTAGCAAGGAACTTTGAAACATTCTACTGTAAACACATTAAGAGCTTTTGAAAATGAACTGCCTTGTCCCAGAATAACCTTTCAATTTCTCCTGGCTCTCCTAAATGCTGTACCATAAACACTAGCGCCCAAAAGCTGCATTTCAACAAACAAAAACATGTAGAAGTGGCAAAAATACTCACTGACAGACAGATGCCTGCTTCTGGGTTCTGGCTGCTGGTAGGGTGTGCTCACATCCCCTACAGATTGGGAAGTTTTAATCCTGACTTGCTTGGGCAGTCCAGAGTGGGGTGAAGAACTGGTCTGTTGGGTAAAATGGAAAGAACAGAACAAAATAAAGTGAGATGAAGGAGCTCAAGCAGTCTGGCCACAGGTTAAAAAAAATATTATGCTCTGTACCAAGAAAGTGCTGAGCAACAGTTCTAGGGCCTGAAATCTTATTAATTCAGAAAACACAAACAAAAAGACAGCAAAAGAGCCAGGTTTACAATTAGGGTGTAAAACAGGAGGCAGAGAACTACAACAAGGGCAGCTCAACTCAAGTGCAGGATTTGCAGGCCTCAGTGTGTGACACTGCCAGGTACCTGAGGGGCTCCTCTCACCCCCTGAGACCAGAACACAGAGGCACCTCCAATTTCCATCAGCCACCTCGGCCAGCAGAGATAAATTCTGAATCTTGCACTGTTTCAGAAGCAATCTGACTCCCCACAGCCTTTAAAAAGTAAATTCATAACTCAGACTAAGTAAAAATAAATTCTGGAGAGTTTAATAGCACCAACAGTCAGGAGATGCCAAGATGAAGTTATTCATTCATCCTTCCCCTGAACTTACATAGGTATTATCTAATTAAAGGTAATTTTTCCACAGAGCCCTCATCTCATTCAAAGCAGGAAGAGGAGTGAGACACATGAAACCACCCCAAGCCACTGAGATTCTGTGTTAAAGCAGGGGCTCAATACCTGCAGACACTTTCAATTTTAACCCTGATCCAACACACCTAGTTTTACAACAAGGTGTAATATTCCCCTCCTCTTGAGTTACAGAATTTATCTTATTTGAAAAGAACATAACCAAAGACACCTGAAGGAAATAAATTCTGACCTCCAAAAATTATTTGAACATGACAGGCAAAGAAGGTGCAACAACTCAAATACTTTAATTCAATATTAAATTCCTGGATGGTTGCACATTTAATGAGTGCATACACTTGAAGGGAGTAAGGAAAGAGTCTGATTTAAGTCACACAAACTCCACCATGGGCAGGTCCATGGGAGCTGGATAAAGGGTGCAGAGGTCACCCTGCTTAAAAAGCTGCAATGTTTTAGCCCCCAAACTGAAGTCAGGGAAAAAAATCCAACACAAAAAGACACCTATAGCTGAGCCAATGCACAGAGGATAAACACATGCATTTGTGCCTGGGAAAAGTGATTTTATAATCCCTATCACACTCAATTAATGCTACCATCATGCTTTAGAGTCTTAAGGGTAAAACCCTTGATTTTGCAGGCCCAGAAGTTGTTACCCACATGGTTTCTGTCCTGGGACAGCAACAGTATCCTCAGGCTTTTCACATTTGAGCTCCGGTCCAAGAGATCCACAGCTTTATCCAGATCATCTTGGTTTTTCAAAGGAATAGAGAGCTGCAAGATAAAGAGCATGGAAGAAAATCATTAGAAAAGAGAGAAAAAAAAATGCTACTTCTACAATGGGTTGTTTAAATACAATGGGTATTTAAACAAACATTAGAAAAACACCAGACTGTAAAACAGGATTCTGATTGCTCAGCTATTCCACAAATTTTCATTCCAATGCTGTCTTACTGTCCTTTTTAATGAGGTTTTCCTCACAAGTCAGAGAAATGGCTGACTCTAATGCAAATTCCCCTAAAGCACCACCCACACAAGTATGAATTGCTACCTGGATTTGCTGTTTGCAAAGAACAGAGACTTGTCAGCCCCTGACTCTCTGATGAGAAAATGGTCTCAGCACACTTGTGAATCCAGAACTAATGAACAAGTGAAAATTGGGTTTCATGTAGAGTGTCCCAAGCAACACCAGAGCAAGGGAACAAGATGCTGATGTTTGTACAACACATCCATCAGTGAGGTGCTTTATCAGGATCAGCACCTTTGCCTTCAGATCAGGGATTCCACAATGGTTTGTATTAAAGAAAGACCCAAAAATTAAATTTCCAAGCAGAGAATTTGTGCTGGGGAAAGGAGGTATCAGTCAGAGAGCACTGAGAGCTCAGTACCTCGTTGTTCATGTAGTGGAGGTCCAGGGGCTGCCCAAAGGCTGTTTTCACTTTCTGCTGCACGTCTTCGTAGCGCACGGGACGGACAAACGGAATGATCCTGGGAGGAAAGAGAGCCACGGCCTCACTGCACAGACACACTTGGTAATGCAATCAAATCACATGGCTGAACCATTAAAACCACATCTGAACGGCCTCCTTTCATCCACAAGCAAGCAGGCAACCTTTCAAATTTAAATTTTTATATGTATTATTTCAATAAGGAGTTATTGATCTCTGGCCCGTTTCCATACAGTTTGTCAAAATGCAATATTCAGCTGGAGAATTCAAATAGAATCCCTTTGTCCCCGGGCAGAAAAGAATCCTTTTTTTAATAAATGTCTTTCACATAGCAGGATACAAATGCCCTGTGCACCTTGGCTTAAAAAATACCACCTGCTCTGGCTCAGATGAGATACTGCCACAAAGAGCTGGATTGTGAGCACCAATTAACAAACTTGTCACGAGGCAGAAAAAACAGGATACAACAAGGTCTCCCCCGAGCCTACTCTTCTCCAGGCTAAACAATCCAAGATCCTCTTCACACATGAACTATTAAAATATCTGGTTATACTTTCTGTCCTCAGTTGGAAGATTAGTGTTCTTTCCCATGCAATTCCTGCTAGTTAACTTTGAGAAAAAAAAAATCTTTTGCAATGAAAAAACTTTCAGGTTTTTTATATTTCTTTTGCTACATCAGCACACTACAAATGATCAAGGGACTGTTTGGACTTCCAAGTTACTGAGTGGACCATGGAAACTCAAGACTTGTTCTTGACCAACTCAGTGAGACCCTGAATTATCTCCCAGGAGTTTGTGGGGAAAGGGAGGGAGAGGGGCTTTGTGTAGGGGCCACAGAGAGCAGCTGTGGCTGCCCCTGGATCCCTGGCAGTGCCCAAGGCCAGGCTGGATGGGCTTTGGAGTGACCTGGGACAGTGGGAGGTGGCCCTGCCCATGGCAGGGGTGGCACTGGGTCTTTGAGGTCCCTTCCATCCCGAACCATGGTGGGATTTTCTGGCTCTGGGATGAACCTGTGCTTTGGAGAGAAGGTTTGGTTTCCCAGTCATGCATCCACACAGCCTCATCAGCCCTGGGTGTCCTTTCAAGAGATGCAGCTTTTGTTTTAAATACCCCTTGTGTTCCTCAGCCCTTCCCATCAAGGCTTATCTTGCTACCAGACCTACAACATTCAGCTGTTTGGAAATAATTGTCCTTGTTAAAAAGCTGCCCACAATAACATTTTCTACATATTCCTAGGAAACCCATACATGAAATCACAGTAGTCTGGCACCACACAAATGCCATGTGGCTCTCAGTCCCTTATAAAGGCTCCCATTCTACACTCAATGCTTTCAAAAGCAGAGCTGTTCTCAGGTGCCACAAATTTTATTAGTTTAAAAACTCTGTGCACTCCTCTAACACAAAATCCTGGACTGCAGGGTTTAAGGAGCCCATTCCTGCCTGACCACCTTAAATATTTGTGGTTAGATCTGGCAGCTCCTGTGAAACCAAGCACACACACTGACATTCTGGTGCAAGCTCCCTGTCTGGAACTGCACACTGTGCTGGGAGCAGGGAATTCAGGCGAGCACAACTGCATAATTGGACTGACACACAATCAACCTTTTCATTTTAGGGAAAAAAAACCCAAAAAACAACAGGAGAAAACCCTTCTGCCCCCTGGAATGCACCCAGCAGACAGGCAAGATGATAAGCCTGTGGTGACAGGAGAGCTGCCCTGTCCTGACACAGTGTGACAAGGAACTGTGACATGTCCCACTGTGGCTCTGTTGTTGTCCCCACAAAGCCCCTGACACAGAACAGTGCTGAGCAGACCTGGCTGACAAAGGAGGGAGCAAATCCCAGTGATGATCACCTGTAAAATTTCTCCCACAGCACAAGAAGTCACTGACAGAATTATTCACATAGGATTTCAGTGAAAGAAACAGTGAAAGTTTTGAGGAAGAGTAGAAATTATTCTCCACAGCCTGCTTTGCCAACAAAGAACACTTCTGCTTTCCTAACAGAAATCCCAAAATCTGACAAAGGAGGAGCTTCAACAAACCTGGCCAATAACCTCTGTCAGAACAGGCTGTGAGGATCACTACACACAACTTCTCCTCCTGTGCCATTCACATTAAATTTGCATTTTATCATGAAATTGTGAACTACTTCACGATGGAAGTACTGCCTGGCCTGGGAGAAACCATCTCACAAGATGGCTGTGAAGATGGCACATACATTCATGCTTACAACCCAATCAATATCTTCTGAAATACAGACACTATAGCCCAGCATCAGGATCATGATTTCCCTCAGTGAGAGCAGAGCCAGAGACCACAGACAAGCCTGGAGCCCTCCTGAGTGTTCACACAGCCACGAGTCATTAAAATGTTTCAAGAGTTCCTCTTGAATTGATGGCAAATAAGAGGCTTTTTGGGACCTACTTTGAAATATTTCAGCAATTTTACCCATTGTAAACAATGCTGTAAAAACTGAAACTGCTATTTCAGTTATTTCTGTTTTTTTTCCTTGTACAAGAATGTCTCTCAAAACCAAATATCAGAGGAAATAACAAAGAAGTTTTTACACCAATGAAAAAAAAAATCTTCCCTTGCTGTATCTATTGCTCAATCACAGCAGGGCAGTGATAGTGACAGGGCATCAGGAAGTGAGAAATTAGAAAAGAATGATGCTGATTTGATCAGCTTCATTTGGTTTCAGTTAAACGAAACAAAATAGGAACATATCTGAAATAAGACTTTCAGGCTGAATTTTTTTCAGGCTGGACAGCTTTTAAAAATGCTGCAGTTCTCTTACATTTATTATGGAAATAAATCAGTGTTTTATGACACACTGATCTCTAAAAATACCCAAGTTGTGTGTGAGCTGTTTGCTATTGCCTTCACTGTGTGATTTCCATTCAGGAAAAAGGAAAGCAAAGCCAACCAAATATTGAAGCTAAATTACTGATGACTAAATTACTGTCCCAAGCAAAGAATCAAAGCAGTGAAGGCCAACTTACCGTCTCTCCCCATTATGTTCAAACTTTATCCTGACATCATTCTGCAGGAGAAAGAACAAAAGGTGAGCTCACAATCAAACTCTGGCACACACAACAGCACACAAATGCACCACATTACAATTTTAGTATTTTAACTTTCTCCATGGAAGCTGAAGCAGACTGTGGAAACAAGTGGCTGATACATGAACACAGCACGTGAGGAATGGAGAAACTGCTGAAGGAGAAAGAGAAGGAAAGGGGTAAAAACTGAGCTGCAATTTTTGTAAACTGACACTTAAACAGAGGACATTGAAATAAACTTAAAAAAAATTAATCTGTCTTCAACACTGCATGGAAAAAATTTGAAATTCAGTCCTAATTGCTCATTAACCTGAAGGCAATTTTCTTTAAGCATGCTCAAAGCATGCATGGCAGGAAACAGAGAGGGAATGTGCTACATTTTTTATTCCCGGTCCTGTTTTTGAATTTTTATTCCAATTTATTATCCTTTATTCTTAAGACATGGACTGAATCTCTGCTTTTCCAAAAATGCAGCCCCTGAAACTCAGAGGTACAAACAGGTTGATTCTGTATCACCTTTTAAAGCTCTAAGGTTTCAGCAAAGGGGTCATCACCAGCACCTGACAGTTAAAAAGCACTGAGTGTGCAACCTGTGCAGCCACTGTAAGCTCAGAAGATGCTGGGTGGCATGCAAGAGTCAACAAGCTGAACTTTCAACTCTGGCCATTGGAAGTTCAAATCCCAATTTAGGTCAGAAAGATAAAAATAAAAGGGAAAAAATCTGCCCTGATAAGACTCCATCATTTCGGCCGCACGATTTATGTGACTGGAATAGATTAAGCCATCTGTGAAAGCCTCAGACAATAGGCAATCATACATCTAGGAACTTCAAAAAAAACGTGGCCAGGAAATGCTCTTTAGCTGGAGGAAGTTTCTGGCAGGCCCAGTGGTCAAGAATGCAGTTCAAAAGGACCCATGGAGTCCCTGGGAGCACACGGAATTCCTGCAGTGCTGCTGGACCAGGGGAAAATGAACTTCCCAACCCCAGCCACGAGCAGCTGCAGGTGGGGCACTCACATGTCACTTTAAAGAGGGGTTTTTTAGATGTGGGAATAGAAAGAACTTAGTCTAGAATTACTCCAAAATGAAAAAAAAAAAAAATCTAGAGAATTCATCTGAATTGATCAGTAAAGGAACAATGCAGCAAACAGCACAGGAATTACATGAAGTCACTGCACACAACTTGAAGACATATTCCTAATTTATAATTGCTAATATGGAAATGAAGTCAGTTTTCTTACCGGAATTTTTTTTTCTTCCACTGCAGAGGCACACTGGTTCATTATTGCAGGGCTGCCCAAGAGGGGGGGACTGCTGGCATTGTGTTTTTTCTTTAAAAAAGAATAAAATCCCTTTAAAAAATGGAAATATGACTGTGAAATCAGAAAGCCACCTGCTAAGATTTTTAGCTGGGCAGACCAAACCCCATAAAAAACACATATGGGGAGAATGCAGTGTACACACATGTATAATGTAATATATATTAAATATTTTATTAAACTACATAAATGTATAGCATATATAATATATACAGTTTGATATTAAGATCAAATATTAATATTAATAATAATATCACTAATATAATGTTGATATCATTAATCTATTAATATATACAGATATTATATTCGTTAATCTTATAATCTATATTAACAAATAATTATATTCATTAATCTATTTTTTATATTTTTATAAAAATTTTATAAAAATATAAAAAATAGAAAAGCTACCATATTTGCCACAGCCTGAGCAGGATCAAGGAGCTACTTCCCATCTGATGCTTTGGCTGTTGGAAGCACAGGACAGAGCCAAGGATCTGAGCCAGTCAGACCCTCTGTCCACCTGCTGTGTCCCTTCTGTCCCCAGGTCCCCAGCTCAGGCACTCACACACCATTTTACCTGTCTGTTGGAGTGAGCAGTGTCCTTATTCTTCATGGTGTCATAGCCAGGGAGGCGGTGGCGCCTGCCCATCTGCAGTGCCACCAGGTCCTTCATGATGGACTTCAAGGCCTCTTGTTCATCTGTGATGCACACAGAAGAATTGCAGGGGTGAGTTGTCTGGGTGAGCACCAACCATGACATTTCTGCAGCTCTGACACTTCTACACTGGTTTTCTGCTGGCTCATAGAGCAGCAATCCTTTTTAGGATCTTTGCAAATACACTGGGATTTAATTTGGTCATAAAAAAGCCCCAACTTAACGGAATATGACATAATAAACTGACAGATAAATGTTAAGTCACTTGTCGAATATCACAGAAGGATCTGGCCAGAGTACAGATGAGAATGAATATCCCCAGCCCCTAATTCTGTTCAAAAGTCTTCACAACCAGCAGTAAAACCTGGACAGATTTGCTAGACCATCACAGGTCATTTAGGAAGGGCAAGCTGACGTGCTTCTGCCAAGGAAAACCTGGGAAAAGTCTGTTCTTTCCCATTTTATGTCCTGTTAACTCTGAATTCTTGCCTGCTAGTGGAACAAACCACGGCCAGTAGAAAGAGAACTGAAAATCTGGACGAGGATTCATCTTGGAGTATCTGTGAACACAAACCCATTTGCACTGATTGCCCCAACACGTTCCTCTCCCCTCAGAACAAGCTGATGGAATAAAATTCAAACCATTTTATGGGATTTCAAGATCTGCTGAGCAGGTTCAAGCTGTCCAGCACTAGGAACACTGTCTGCTGGCAAAGTGCAATGCAGCAGGTTCACTTCAAGGCTTCTTGCCTTGCAGCAATATAAAAACACACATGGATATTTTTTCTTGTATGTTCCACTGACTAAGAATTACTTTCTGAGGATTCCTGATGTAACCAATTTAAAATATTCTTTCCCACTGCCTGTTTGTTTTGAGAAGTGGTACTCAGCAGAACTTTGTGCTTAGAGAAAAAAACCAAAGATGTACAAAGAGAGCAATGCACAGTGGCTGTGATGGATGGTAGATGGAGCTGTGGAAATGAATCCTTTCCTTGAGCAAGGATAAGGACTTGAAATTCCTTGATACTGCAGAAGGTAAAGGAAGCTGCCAAGTGCAGCTCTGTCCAAAGTGGGGCTGCACTGGGCACTGGCTGCCAGAGCAGCACCTCAGGCTGGCACTGCTCCTGGCACAGCCCTGCCCTCTGCACTGCCTGCCTGCTGTCTCACACAGCAGGACCCAAAAAGGTTTTAGGGATCAAGTGTTGTTTCCTTGGCAAATCATATACTCAGTTAAATCCTTCCTGATGTTAAGGCATTACTTGGGCATGGAACTTGAAGCAATGATTTGGTCAGCACTGGACATGCCAAGGAGAATCTGGCTTTTCTAAAAGAGTTTGAGAGGACCTGAAAACCCTAGATTTGAAATTTGATTTTTTTTTTTTTTTTTTTTTTTTGTTGATAATTGGGATTTTTGGAAGTGATGTGAGCCAGATGAGGTTATCACAGTTCCTCCTTTCTCCCCTCACTCTGCCACTTTGAGAAGTTTCAACTGAAATGAGCATTTCTGAAGCTGATTTCTAAATAACTGAAACTTAATTTTAAGAATCCACCATGGCTACACACTCATCCCTGATTCATGGCACTGGTTTGATAGGTAATCACTTGCATTTGGAAGAGCTGTCCTGGAACAGCTGCTGAACATCAAAGGATGGACTGGCTCACACTGGCACTTCTCTGGAAAAGGCACTCACTGGGACAATTTGTTTCTGCAATTTCGTGTCGTGCATTTGCTCACGAGTCTCTCCAAAGCAGTCAGCTTATGTTTTATGCAAAGACTGGCTTCATAATTAATCAATGCCTGGATAATAAACTAGATTTTCGCAATGCTGAAAGATGACAGATGTGGGACACGTACAGCTTGTAAAGCACGCAGGCAGCAGATCCTGCTGAAAGTTAAAAGCAGAATGAGAAAAATACACTTCTTTGTAAGGAGGGAACAGCTGAAGTCCCAGTCAGAACAGAAGTCAAACTAGGATTATCTCTGCTAAAACAAACAGTTTCTGCCCAGGTCTGTTTTAGCTTTCACAGGATCCCAGAATGGTTTGGGTTGGAGGGACCTCAAAGCCCATCCAGTGCCACCCCTGCCATGGCAGGGACACCTCCCACTGTCCCAGGTGCTCCAAACCCTGTCCAGCCTGGCCTTGGGCACTGCCAGGGACCCAGGGGCCTCCTCACCCTCCCAGGCAGGAATTTCTTCCCAACATCCCATCCATCCCTGCCCTCTGGCAGTGGGAAGCCATTCCCTGTGTCCTGTCCACTTGTAAAGTCTCTCTCCATCTCTCTTGCAGGCTCTCTTCAGGCACTGGAAGGTCAGTCCTAACTTGGTCCTGAGAGCACCCAACATCTGAGATACATCCACTGTGACTCCACAATGTTACACCAGAAACATCAAGCCTAGACCAGGTTATGAAATAAAAGGAAAAGAAATCTCCCAATGCATCTGCAGAAGGTGTTAATTACAGAAAAAAAAATCTTAAAAAAGGAATGCAGAGAATATAAAAAAATCCGAATCAAAACCCAGCAAATCTCTGCTGTCCAAGACAAGCCAAATGAGACAATAACCACATTGTGGCAGTGGAGAAGGGAGAGCACTCCTTGACATTCCAACTGCATGTAAAAGAAGCAAGTGGTGTAAGTAACACAACCAAAGCAAGAGGCTGCTTTTTGAGAAGCACATCAGCCAAAGGAAATAAGTGCTGGGATCTATCTCAGCACTAAGTAACCCCTTGTGGGATGAAAATGTGAAGAAACAGCTGTGAATGAAGCTAAAGTTCCAGGTAGGCAATGGCACAACTTTTTCCTTTTTTTTTTTTTTTTTTTTCTTTAAGTTTCCAACTTTACAGTTGAACATTTAACCTTTTGCCTTTACTGGAGTGTCTCCAATTTACTGGTATTCTTTCATTTTGATGGTGCTTAGAACAGCCTTGGAGTCACCTGGCAGACAAAGGCTGAAACCGTGCACAACAAAATGCCACAACCTATGGCCTGGAACATCCCTGAGGCTCCTACCACCCAAAACACTCAGGGAAGAGCTGGGACACAAGTTTTCCACTACAGTGCAGTCTGGGTTTGGCCAGATACCAGGAGGATGAAGAGCTTGTCTTGGCAGAGTTCCTCTGGGCAAGAAGCAGACGAGCTATGAAAGCAGTTTATAACCGAGGGCTGATGACAAGAAATCAAGTCCATCAAAGAATAGGTCTGAGAGTAAGAATTCTCCTCTCAACATCACTGGAAAACAAAGATCAGTGGCTGAAGGGTTGGCTGCAGGTGTTCTACCCCAGGTCCCAGGCTGTGTGGAGTCAGCAGTCACTCACTTGTGGCACAGAGGACACATCCAGCCAACTGTGTGTGCTCTCTATTACAGACTGCAGCTATGAAGTGAATTTATTTATTACTGAGGCAACTTGTGAATTGACAGCACAAACTCTGAAGGGCAGCATCTGGCAAACACTGGAGCTCAACGCTCTCAGCACAGGGTGGGATTGCTGGGGTGTCCTGAGCTGGACTCCACCATCCCTGTGGGTCCCTCCCAGCTCAGGATATTCTACAAACCCCAGTCAGTGCCCTGCAAGCTCTGTATCTCACTCACTGCAGACATTCTAACACCAAAATATTATCTATCTTCATAAAATGGGAACAGTTAATGTTCTAACAAAGAGGATGGAAGGACTTCAGCTGAGTTTGAATCTTATTGTACATTTTTTAGTGGTCTTACACTGAGCTATTGGTTCCCTACTACTAAACCATACATCCTGTAATTCACCCCTGTGTTGATGAGGTAGGACATGACAGAGTATTTATCTCTTAAAAGGATAAAATAAAGTCAAATACTGAGCTTGCATAGGGGAAAAGTGTATCTGGTGAGGACAGCACTGTGATGGATTTAATGCTGAGAAGCCTGAATACTTCTTTAGCTCCATCCCAACAGAGGATTTCCATAGACTGACTTGGAGAAGCACGTGGAGCAGCCTTACATTAACTGCACAATGCAGAAGCTGCTACAAATGAAAATGAAGCAATTTTTGGAGCACTGAGGGACCCTGTTTTGCCTGGTCTCCAGTAGGTCTGGGAAACACAGCTCTGCTTTGTGCGGGAAAGATGTTGTCCAGGAAATGCTTTTCATGTTTTAAAAACTACACTCAAGGATTTTTATAACTTCGATAAAAGCGAACTGCTGCTCACAGAGAAAGCTGTTCCTCTCCACAAAGCATTTACTTCAACCAATCCCTGGCTTGTTACACAGGTCTGAACAAGTCGGAAATGGAAGCAGTTTGGAAAAAGAACAAAAAAAAAAATCACAAAGTTAGAACAGCAGAAGGATCTGCATGTGTCTGTGGACACCCCTAGTCCAGGATCATGTTTTAGATGGTGTCATAGTGGGACACATGATCCCATATTGTGTAAAAGAGAAAGAAGTGAACACATCTGTGTGTTATCTACCCCCACAACAGCAAAGCTGGTTTGGGTGAGTGACTGGCAGATCTGAGGGCAATGAGGAAATTTTACACAAATTGTGTCTATGTTAGAGGTCTCAAAAAAGCAGAAAGAGTTGAAAAGAGTTTCGAGTCCTTTGCTGTGGGTGGTTTTGGTGGTACCAAAATGCTGCTGTGCGCAAGCTTTAGGAAATCACAAACGACCTGGTTTGCAGAGTGAGAGGAAAAATCAAAGGGCTCTAGAAGGCACATCAGTGCAGGATACATTCAGGGTCCCTGTTCCCATTCCCAAGTTAAGGACAGGGCTGGGATTTGGGACTGGGGCCGGTCCTGACCCGCAGGCTCAGCCCCGCTCCCTCGCGCTGTCACCGGGTGCGTGTGAGCCAAGGGAAGGAAGTGACACAGGCAGGAAAAGCCAGCGCAGGGGAAGCTGCAGGCAGCAGGGCCTGCTCCCCAAAGCCAGCCCCGCTCCCCTCGGGCCGCAGGGCCCCGTTCTCCAGCCTGCCAAGGAGGGCAATGACCCTCAGGGACTGCCCTGGATCTGCTCAGGTGAGCGCCGGGCTCTGCAAGCCCCGACATCAGCACCGCACGCATCCTTCAGGTGGGTTAAACACCAGCCCAAAGGAGTCAGAGCGCCGTGTACAGCCCAGCACCCATTATTGATCAGATTATTTGGTCACAGTTGCTGAGTGAATTTAGGTTTTTCCCACTGCAAAGGGAAAAATCTGCTTGCAGCTGTGCCATGATGCACTCAATGCTATGGTGGAGTGGTCCATGAAATTGTATTTTTTCATTCTGTGCTCGCATGTTTACAAACACAGGTCCAATTGCCATTGGAAAACACTTTCATGGAAATCCAAGCTCCGACTTCTAAACCATTTTAAGTTTATGAAGCACCCTGCTGCTCTAAACAGAGTGGATTACACTATTCTTCTTTGTAGCAGAGAAATCTAGCGATGGTTTTGCATGAATTTGTTGTATTTACCAATTTAAAACAGAGTAAAGAGATATTGAAGTAGTTGTGGAATAACATTTGCAATGCTTTTTGAATTTAAAGTATAAGTTAATTATGTACACAGACTAAATGAAGGAGAGTCTCAGAAAACCAAATTTGGTTGCGGGGAAGAAACATTTAAGTTGCAGCCCATGAAGCCATGAAACACCAGACTTAGAAAAGCAGGAATTTCCTTGCCAATATGCAAGTATGAGTAAGTTCTGGTTTAGAGCAATTAAAAGTTTAATTCTAGCACCTCTCTCTAAGCTGAAAACAGAATTAGGAAGCACAAGACCCCCTCCATAAGCAGTTCTTTATACAGGACATACAGTCCAAATCCAAATTATTTTGAATTAATCTATCCAATTCAGTCATGGCAGCTCTTCATAATAAAGTTTTCCTCTTGAAAAAGAGTTCTTCCAACTCCTTTACTTGTTTTTACATGTTGCTGTCTGCGCTGAGAATGGCAAATGAGAACTCGGAGGGAGCTCCATAAAGGAAAATCTATTTTGATGGACGCCCAAGCTGCACTTAATAATAGAAATTTCCCTGATAAAGCTTGAGCACAGCAATTCCCGTCTCAAGCAGAGCCAACTTCTGGAGGCTGGAGGAGCCCCCGGAGCTCAGCCCGGCCCGCTGCTCCCGCCGGCTGCGTCTGGCCAAGCTCGGTACCGGCGGGGGCACCGCACGTTTCGGTAAACACCGATTTTCACCATTTTAACCAAATCCTTGAAAATCCACCGCTCCCCGCGGCGCTGCCGCTGCCGGGCCCGCCCGCGCCGGCCCCGGCGGGTCCGAGCGCCCCGGAGCGGGGCCCGGCCGAGCTCCCGCCGCCCCTTCCCGCCCGCAGCGGCCCCGGCCCATGACGCGGCCCCGGCTCCCGGGGCTTCTCCGCCGCTCCTCACCCATGTCTGCGGGCGGCGGCCCCGCTCACGGCGGGCGCTGCGGGACGGCGCTGTCACCGCCGCGGCTCCATGGCGGCCGGGCCGAGGGGGAGGGCTCAGAGCCGCCGCCGCCGCCGCCACATTCCCAGGCCCCGCGCCGCCGCCTCCTCCCGGCGGCCGCGCTCCGGGAGCGGCGGGCGGGGGCGGGAGGGCGCAGGCGCTGCCGGTGCGTCCCGGTGCCCCCGGTCCGTGCGGGCCGGCCCCGCCGCCGCCGCCCGCAAAACAAACCGCTCGGCGGCCGCCGCGCACCCGCCGCCTCCTGCCAATCACAGCGGCACCCGCCGCCGCCCGCCAATCGGCGCCGCCGGGGCGCCCACCCGACGGCGCTGCTGGCCAATGGGCGCTCGAGGAGCCGCGCCGCCCGCCCCGCCTCCCCGCGGAGCCGGCTGTCAATCACGGGGGCCCATTGCGCCGCGGCGAAGCCACGCCCCCGTCAATCGGAGGCGGGGCATGTCAGACCACGCCCTCCTGTTGCTGTCAATCAGAGTGACGGACAGCGGGGCCGGATCCAGAAAAGATAATAGAAAAGGAAAAATCGAATTTTGTCCGTCTGCCCGTGCTGTACCTGCAGTAAAGCACCTCTGGGAATCCAGCCACAGGGTTAATGAGAAGAAATGCTCCCTTCAAATGAACTAATGAATTATAATTAAAAAATCCTGCTCTATTGGGTCTGATGCAACTGCTGGGTAACTCCGTTCACACACCACCGTGTGCTTCTGTCATCATCCAGTCCAACCCAGAAATTCCACTCTGAATCAGGAATGCTTTGGGCTGGAAGGGACCTTAAAGATCATCTCATTCTCCCCCCAGTGTTTAAATCAAATTACACCTTTTAAAACAAACCCCAGCCTGCTCTTTCCCAGTGTGTGTCCACTGCACCTGCAGGATGGTATTTCCATGCTGTCCTTTCCACCAAAGGAACAGGAGAAGGGGTTTGTTGTTTTGAAAAGGAGCCCAGCCCTGACTCCCTGTGCTGGCCAGGGCTGCCCTGCTGCTGGGAACCCCACCTGAGCAGATGTTCCAGCTGCTGCTTCTCAACCTGCCAAGTGTCTGGAAGTGGCTTTGCTCCCAAACAGCACGGCAGCAATGTCAAAGGGGTCAGGGAACCTGGATAAGGCACACGGACAAGAAAACTAGACTGGAAAGGGAAATTGCTCAAAAGTGTGAACAAGAGCAGGAATCTGAACCCACCCATCAGGAGGGATTTGGGACTTAGTCAAAACATGACAACATTATCTGCAACATAATTTATTTTTATTTTTATTTTTTTTAACTGTCAAGGTAATAAAAAGCTCTTGGAGTGTCATACCAGGTAGACACAGAAATAGGAAAAGGGATCCACAGACCCAGCCACTTTCCCTTCTTAATACAAGTCTTGTATTTGTGGTATCATGTGGGTAGTTTTTTGTCCCTGTTCCAATTTGAATTCCTCTCTCATTTGACAGCACCATTATTGATCTTGGAACCACTTTTTGACATGCTTTTTCACAGCTTCATGATGGTTTATCACTACCCTTTACCAACCACTACATCTCAGTTTCCTGTCCTCACTAATTTCCAATAAAATACTCCACAGATTTCTCCTTGCCCATAAATTCACATCCTTGCACTCTCTGCTGCTACATTTAATCTCATCTCTATTTCTCACACTTCACTCATCCAATCTCCAAGACACTCCAGTTCCCTCATATTATTGAAGCCTCCCACTTTTGTTCATCACCAAATTTGATTTTAATGCTCGCTCTTTGTGCCAGGATGATTATAAAAAGGCTTTTCTAAGAGAGGGAAGATCCCACCCCATGCCCTGGGAGGCAGAAATTCAGTAGCAGTTCCCCACTGCAGCAGCCCTGATTTCAAACCACTCCATCATCACCTCACCATTTGCTATCTTTGCCTATCTTGTCCTGCTAAACGAGAACGATTCCATGTCCCTTTGTGCAGAAGCTTGCTTTACTGAGTCCAACAGATATTAGACCAGCGAGTGGCAGCTTGTGACAGGAGGCAGCAGCTCCTGGCAGATGGCAGGGACACCCACCCTGGTGGAACTCGCTCGGGTTCCCATCTCCCACTGCCCAGGGTGTCTGGATTTCACTGAAGCTTCCCCGCACCTTCTACCGAATTGAAAATAGAATGATTTGTCCTTAACAGCTCATCACTTCACCCACCTGTCAAACCTAATGTGTAAACCAACAGATTTGTCTCTTGGTTTGTGGTTTCCCCGTTTTACAGACATTCTAGCATCACTATCTACATGCAAGTGCCATCAGGACTTTTTTTGGACCACTACAGACCCTCACACCTTTTTTTCCCCCTCCCCGACAAGCTGGTAAATCATTCCTGAACTGCAATCCAACTTTCTACCAAAATAAGTGTCCCTTTTTTGTGTAATTTGAGAAAAAGTGAATAATTCCTTTCTGACTTTTACTGTGTACTTAATGCTGTGCTGGAATCACAGAATCCCAGAAGGGTTTGGGTTGGAAGGGCCCTTAAAGACCCCCCCAATTTCACCCCTGCCATGGCAGGGACACCTTCCACTGTCTCAAACTGCTCCAAGCCCTGTCCAGCCTGGCCTTGGGCACTGCCAGGGATGCAGGGGCAGCCCCAGCTGCTCTGGGCACCTGTGCCATGGCCTGCCCACCCTCCCAGGGAGGACACAGCCCATCAAATCCTTCTCTCTATCAGTCTGAACCCAGTTCTCCTTGTCCTGCCATTACAGTTCCTGCTGAGGATCAGGTTATTTGTTTCATACCAGCTGATACTCCGTGGTTTTCCACCCAGATTGTCCACATCCTTCCAAAGCTGCAGCTTTCCAGCAGAGAAGCTTCACTCCTGTAAACAGCAGCTGCAGAACAGACTTAATTCTTGAATTTATCCATTTAATGTAAAATCATCAGTAAAGATATTCACAGAGACTCTCCAGGAGCTGCTCTGTTTCCAGTCAGCCCATTTCTTTGAAATGAACTTTATAAGGCCCAATTCTTTAACGCTGTCACACAGCATCAACTAAGAAAAGGAAGTGTAATCCCTATTTTAGGGACTTAAGGGCATTGCACAGAGAGACAGTGACTTGTTGGGAGTTACACAGGAAGTCTGGAGTAGACCTTTGGGATTTAGCTCTTGGCACCTTTTCCTAGTGTCTTAATCACTATGCCATCATCTTATTTTCTATTGTGGTAGTATTTCCATTTTCTGAAGCATACCTGACTGAAAGAGCCCCTTTTCCTTGCTATCAGATGTACTATTTCTTCTTTCCTTCCTGCTTCCCTTCTTGTTTAGGTAGACACATCCTTCCTGGGGAGCAGAGCAGGCTCCAGGCTGAGCCTTGTCCCATGCCAAAACTTCCTTATTCTACATCTTTATTCTACATCTTGGACTCCAGAGCCACAGAAGGGAGTGAGGAGGAGAAACCCTGTAAACAGAACCGGAGAATCCTTCAATGCTTTGGGTTGGAAGGACCTTAAATCCCATCTATGCCAGCCCTGCCATGGCAGGGACACCTTTCACTGTCCCAGGGTGCTCCAAGCTCCATCAAGCCTGGCCTGACACTGCCAGGGATGGGGCATCCTCTCTTCAAAGGAGGCATGAAAGGGTTCTGCAGATGTAAGAATAATCTCATGAATCCCAGGCAGTTCTGTCTCTCCTAAAAATCCCTTGTTGTTCTCTCAGCTTTGAAAGCAAAGCGAATGGAACACTGTCATCATTTCCCAACTCTAGGACAGCATGGCAGGATAAATATGGGCCCAAATGCATCTCTCCCCCAGCAGAGACATGAATCATGTGAAACTCCTGTAAAACACACCTGCAAGAGCCTTTCCCAGCCGGGAGGAGCAGGTGGGCGCCTGGACCTGTCCTGTGGCCCAGGGCTGGGCCTGGCTGCCAGCAGCATTCCAGCAGAGGGGGCTCTGAAGCTGCTGAAAAACCAGAAGCTGTTCTGCCTTTGGAATGGCAAAATTAGAGAAGGAAGGGGAGGAAGAAGATTAAAAATATTATATGAGCTGACAGTCTGGACTGTTTCTAAAACAGCACGAATGAAAAAGCTCAGAATTAAATGTGTCTTCCAGTCACAGGCCCCAGAATAATCTCAGTGACCACTTTTTCTCTGCAGCTATTGCTGTGCATTGTGTTAGCACAGAGGGTTTCTTTCAAGTATTTTCAAGCCCTTTACTGATTGCTGATTAATTATGTGCTTTTCACTTTCAGCTGGTATCAGAACCATGGCCACAGAGCAAGACAGCTGTGCCAGATGTTGGCTGGTCCATAATATTGACAAAAGGCAGAACCCCTCTCATCTTTTTTTCTACCTCCATTCCTCCTGTTTTGCCACGCTGACAGGCAACCTGCTTCACCCATTATCCACCAGTCCACCACTTTTTGCACTGCTCCAACTTGCACAAGCTGCCTCCTTCCACCATAGTGGCAGCTGAGAAAGTTTCTCTGGAGCATCCCAAAGCACGAATCCACGGACAAAAATAATCTGTGAGGATGCAGATGCATTTCTAGGGTGAAAGACAAACAATTCTTAGAAAGAAAGTATTTTTTTCTGAGCAGGAGTTACTAACACAAAGTCCATATATAGCTTAAAAATCACTGCAGCATCTTTGCAGGCAAAGATGTGGTCATGAAGCTTAATAAGCTTTTATTTCAAAGTACACAAAGAATTAGAAAGAAATCCAAGCATTTAGTTGAACTAGATTGAATCTAAATACTGAGGGAAGTCATCAGTCCTGCTTGCCAAGGCCCAAGGTACAAATTTCCAAGCTCTGCCACACTATTCTCCTCTTGGCCCCAGTTCCAGACACGACAGCAGTGAATGAGTGTGTGGAAAAAACACCCTTTAAGAGAGGTCACCCTGCCCAGGAGAGACTTACAGCTACACAAGTGCCCAATTGCTTTGTTTACACTTTGCCTATATTCAAAATCCCTCAGAGACTAATTATTTGAACTCAAAAAAAAATCCCTCTTCCCCTCGTCTTAAAAACAAAAGCACGCAGCAGATAATTCCCATTTTTCTGTGCAAGGAAGAAGCAAATGTTGGAAAACATGAGCAG